CCAGACTTTGGTTCTCTCAGTCAGTGTGTTTTTGATGTGGAGTAGATTTTTCCTCGTGTTTTGTTTTTCTCCTTCCATGATGAAGAGTGATATATTTATTTTTTTTTGGGGAGGAGGCTGCACAGTTTTGTTGCTGAACGTTGCACATACACATTTAAAAAAAGAAAAATTAAACCTTGTTAAACTGAACGAGTATAATGGCTGTTTATGTGTTATCCTGATCAACCCCCCCCCCCCACCTGGTTCACAGCAGACATGTTGACTTCCACCAGGTAGAAAATACATCACATGAATCATCGGGAGGCTTGAATTGAACTCAGCCACCAGCAGTGTCCTCACTAACACACGAGCTTCCTCTGCTGTGTGGAAATGTCTCATGTGACAAATGCCTCAAAGCCACATTTAGTCTTTAATTAGTAATCGAGTGGAAATACTGTCAAATTAATCACTGGATAATTGGACAATCAAGGACCAGGGCATCTGTAGATCCTTTAAAAAAAACTTTAGAAGGGATTAAAAGCACTTACATGTCACTTACAAAATGTGTCTGTGGACGGTTACATCGCAAGTTGCACTTGTATGTGGTTGTGGGCTGTTGGGAAATGTCTATGAAACCGGTACTATTACATCTAGTCGACTAGCGCATCAGTTGATTGTACATGCTGGAGGCTTTTGTGTGGAGTTGCACGTGTATTATTTTACAGAAATTCACAGTGGTCAGTCAAAAACTTGTATTGCTGAATCTCCTCTTCAATTCTCTGCCATTTATCGGGTTGCAGTTCCCATTACACAAGTGATTCTAGTACTGCTAGTTATTGTTTCCTTTCAAATAATTCCAGGCCTCTTTTTCCTTGTTCGCTGGGTTTCTGTGGCAGCTTAACTGTGAAGAAGAACATGAATTGCATTGTGTTGCGTTTAGAGTTCTTCAGATTTAGAGGACACTAAAAAGACGTCCTATTGAAGTATAAAGTTATTCTGCATCCCAGCAGTAAATTCATGTTTCCTCATTTTTAATTAGTCAGGTAAAGATGGTTCAAATGTATAAGGTCCAGAATAATCACATAGCACATGTATTTATCTCATAGTCATACCCCACATGAACTTTTGATTTATTTATATATCATAAATAAACCTGCTAACCTATAAAACATGATGCTACTCCACACTAATATCCCTCCATGTTAAAGGAGAATGAAACTACAAATTTAGAATTGACAAAACTTTAAGGTTTAGTCGCTTCAGTTGTTTGTATTTGATTTCAGTTTGTCCAAATATAAACATGATTAGTCAGTTTGAGATATTGAGAGGTAGAGATAATGTTTTTAAGGATTTACCTTTACACACTAGAGTTGTGGTCCAAGTTGATCCTTGGCTGAAATTACTCTGTTAAAGGGCTTCATCTTCTCCCCTCTGACCTACAACCATACACAAACACAAGCATACGAGGGCCTTCTCTCTTATACATATGAATCAAATGGATTTGTCTCTTTTGTGTTTAGTTTCAGGCTTAGGTTTGTCTCCTAAACGTGCACCTCAGTATTTTGTCACTTCACACATCGTACATCATGAGATATTGCACTTGCACATGTATTTGGCTCAGGTTGCAGTTCCAGCTTGGCTAGTTGTATCGGGATTTTCTTGGCGACGCACCCCTCGTTTTTAGAAGTGTATTTGTGTTTGCCTCATCACTGACTTCTACACACAGACACACACTCCAACCAGGTAAGACTTGGTACAAGATAACCCTGTCCGCTTGACTGAGGTGTGTTTTCTGTCGCCTCAGTATAAATCGCGAGGGGCGAAGGTGAAGGTCGAGACACCAGCCCAAACTGAACCCAGGCCACAGTGTCAAACATCAGACAGACAGACAGACGACAGCCCTGCACACAGACGCTATGGAGTGAGTGATGAATGTTTAGGCCCCCTGTCAGGCCGGGGGGAAAGGTTCACTGTTGATGCCACTACTGTTATGTTTTCCTGTATGAGGGCTCCGAGCTCCACTGAGCGTCACACCGTTTCCTGGGTCTATTAGATTAGTGGTACCATGCCCTGTTCAATAGATAGAGCAGGTCTGGTCAGCTCTTTTTCAATTGTTCAGACAATAAAAGACATAATGAAGGCACCCTGGGCTCTGTTAGTATATTAATATTCTACTACTTGCTTAGAAAACATGAATATAATGTTCACATTGTTGACCTGCTCTGTGATTCTTAATCAGCCAGTTAATACTACATCTAAATATTCAGGTGATTATCGGCGGTCAGTCGCTCAGGTGAAGGAGGTTACATTAAATCTGTGAAAGTCTTGAAAATGAGTTGGTTGCATCACTCAGAAGTTCATCTGTCTTATTTAGGTACAACAGTAATATAAAGATTTCAGTAAGTGTCTCAGTGATACTGTCATTCTGTCTTTAAAATTAGCCACACAGAAAATGATGTGTGTTTAAAGTATTGGATCCTTGTTTTCCGGATGCTTTGTGATCAGGTTAATGTTCAACCCAGTGTTCAGCTCAACATATTGACCTAGTGACATTTTATGTCCTAATATAATAACATGACATAAAGAAGCAGCAGCAGCTTGTCAGGCGTCGATAGAACAAAGAGACTGTTTGTTCTTAAGAGAGAACTCATCTTTTGTGTTAGGGACTAAATATTTAAGAACAGCTTCTCACTTCTTCACAGTGTGAGTTTATTGCAGGCCTCAAAAAATGCTTTTAAGTATAATCCACCAACTAATGAAATATATAATAGTTAGGACACATGCCTTCCGTTACAACAATAACAGTGAACCTCAACATCCTGCAGTTTTCTCCTTTATCATCTGCACTACTTTATTTTGATTTAACCTTCTTAGTTTCCCAGGGGACCCTCCTGATCATGTCCGTCCTGGTCCACAGACCCTACAGCTGGAGACTCCTACACCTCAATGAGAGGAGGAGGTGAAGGGACGGGTGAAGGTTGCTCACGCACGCTACTAAATGTGGGATTTGTCTGTGTGTGTGTCTTCTCACTAGTCGTTCACCCACCACATCCAGCCTGATGGCCAGCAGCAACGTCACCAACAAGACCGACCAACGCTCCCTCAACTCCAGGGTCTTCATCGGCAACCTCAACACCCTGCTCGTCACCAAGGCAGACGTCGAGGCCATCTTCACCAAGTACGGCAAGATCGTAGGCTGCTCCGTCCACAAGGGCTACGCCTTCGTCCAGTTCTCCAACGAGAGGAATGCCCGGGCTGCTGTCACTGGAGAGGATGGGAGGATGATAGTCGGACAAGTGCTTGGTTAGGATTCATTTTTAACTTTTTGAAAAGTAAAATAAAAAGGCACATTTCGTCCACAATCTAAAGGCACTTGATTTAAGCCATGTACTGATCTGTCTGTCTTTTTTTATTCCTCAGACATCAACCTGGCTGGAGAACCCAAACCACACAGGTCAAAAACCACTAAACGCTCCGCTGGAGACATGTACAGGTCACTCGGCATGATAATATACATATATGTCACTGCTGTTACACCACAGAGCTAAAACTCACCTTACATGAAACGACAGACTTATCTAGAGGATATATAAACACTGTCACTTCATCACATTTCCTTCCTGACACTTTCTTATTATTCTTCCTAAACAGCAGTTCCTCATTTGACCTCGACTATGACTTTCAAAGAGATTATTACGACAGGTGAGTAAAATATTTCCTGGTTTGAAAAGAAAATACAAAAAACACGTCACAATGAAATAACATATTTTTGTTGTTGTCTTTGTTGCCAGAATGTATTCGTACCCGTCCCGTGTTCCTGCTCCCCCTCCTCCTTTGTCGCGGGCCGTGATCCCGTCCAAGCGCCCGCGGGTCAGCCTCAGCGGAGGAAGCAGCCGGCGAACCAAGAGCAGCTTCTCCTCCTCCTCCAAGAGCAGCCAGAGGATGTCTTCGTCCAGAACAAGTGAGTGTTTCACTGCCTCCTGCAACATTATCCACGGCTTCATTAATCACTCGTTAGAAATGGGGAGGTCAGCTGCCAAAGTCTCTTTGTGTGAATTTAGATCTATTTTCACTTTTCTCTGCAGTGAAAGTGGATGAGCTGCAGACCATCAAGCGGGAGTTGACCCAAATCAAAAGCAAAGTGGACGACCTGCTGGACAGCCTGGAGCGCATGGAGAAGGACCACAGCAAGAAGTCGGGTACGGGCGAAACTTTTTATGTCTGACCGACGCAGGATGTATTAAAAATAATAATAATAATAATCTTGTACTTAACCAGGTATTTTGTAAACTAAAATCTGTCATACTGTCACCAGAGGCAGCTGCTTTTGTTCAGAAACAACCCAGAGTTCTTCTCGTGACTTAATTTCATATAATAGATCATTTCTGAAAGTGTCTCCGTGTTTGGCAGAAGCTAAGAGCATAAAACCTGAGCCAGGAGAAGTGACTTCACCACCTCACTCAAGCAACAAGAAGGATGATGGAATGAAGAGGGAGAGAGAGAGCCAGGAAATGAACGACTCAGACGAGGAGGAAGAGGATGAGGAAGAGGAGGGCGACCTGCTGGAGGAGGATGAGGTGAGACTTCATCCAGCAAAGCAGTTTCCACACAAATTGTAAATGCTGGCAGCCTCGGGTTTCGTGAATTCTAGTTGCTCGCAAATTACAGATAAATATGAGTCTCTCAGGGCTTTTAAACGCTCATGCTGATGAGTTAAACATCAAAATTACCGCAGAGAGGAATGATCTCATGTTGCTAATGGAAGTTGCTGATTTGGTAAAACGGGCTCTGACCCGGCCGTTCATAACATTTGTGTTGCGTCAAAGATTTTTGTCTAAAATTGCAGTAAATCTAATTGATAAGCACTTTGTGAACTTTTAATTTAACTCAAATATCATCAAACACATCGAACATGGACAAATACACAGCTACACATTATTGCACAGGAATTAATCTTTGTAGCCGTATAAAATAATTATAATAACAAATAAAAAAACCTACAGACAAGAAAACCTGTTTCTATTTACTGAAAAGAAACATTCCTGTGTCATCCAGTTAAAACCCTAAATTAATTTAATAAACGTATTTCCAATGTGAAGAGAGAAATGAAACATCAGGCTGTTTGTTGGTTAAACTTCAATATTAACTGTGCAGGTGAAGAGGGATGATGAAGACGAAGACGATGAAGAGGAGGAAGGCGAGCATGTGGAAGGTGACGATGATGCTGACAGTGTCAACGGTGAAGACGACTCGTAGGCGACGAGCGGACGTCAACACGTGCAGCGCTACACAGCTTCCAACAGGAGCTCGGACTCTGTTTTAACACTCATTGTAGATACAAAAGGCAAATGTGTACACACACACACACACAAGCATGGTGCACACACAATGTCGTTCCATTGTCCCTGAAACTGATTTATAATTCTTTTTGTTACTTTCGTCAGTTGTCCACTATCACTGTCACAGGAATAGCTAGCTGTAGTTTTTGGTTTTTGTGTTTTTACTGAGTCGTTACTTGTCTTCAGGCGAAGGCAGAGAAATGGACACCTAATGTTCTCAGAGACGACAGCTCGACGGACATGTCTCAATGCAAGGCCCCAAATTCAGCTACGAGATACGATTTTTAGGTTCAATGTCTTTTCCTCATCAGTGAGTTTGTTTGACCTTGTGTGTCTGTATGTTAATGTCAGTTTTTTATACTATTCCATTTATGTTTAACTGTAAAGAAATAAATTGCAATAAAATATTAAAAGCGGTTGGGCCCTAGTGTCTGTTTTTCCACAAACTATATTGTTGATTTCTGGGGGTGAAAAAATGAAAATGACTAAATTGCATTTCTTTTTAATTAAGCTTTTATTAAATTGTTTTTAAAATCACATATAAATACAATTCAGAATCAACTCATCACATCAGGATCTTTTCGAGTCTTTAAAGTTGGTGGTTCTGAGAAATGCTCTGTTTTACAGTAGTTAAGTCGTCCCAGGAACAAAAGCTCGGTTTTGTTTAGCAAGATCCGAAACTTGATTTCGTGCCGTCAGAGTAAATGTAAAAATCATAGAAACAAATAAATCTTTGTGCATTAAAAAACATTTTTACCAACAAAGAAACTCTCTGTTGCCAACAAGAAACAAAAGAACTGACATTTAAAAGCCCATAAACAAAAGTTATTGATTTTCCTATAATTAATCTCAGTCGAGTCCTCAAAGCTTCAGTTAACGATGGAGTTCATTTCTCCGACAGCATCGGCTCTGGTCACTCGGGCATTTTTCCCACTCGTACCATCAACGTGTATTTCACAGTCACAATACATTCACCTGAGAGTATTAAAACTGTTTGGGGTCGACTTTCCATTGAATGTGTCACTGCCAAGATAGAGGGGGGGGGGGAGCCTGAGCTGGTTTTTGCAGTTCTGCAAGTTTGTATTTGTAGACAGTGCTTGTGGTACAAAGAGGGAAACAACTTCGGGGAAGTAGAATGAAAATACAACGAATTAAAGAATTATTTAGTCAGAAAAACCCTCAGATACCTTCTGAGTCATCATCGGTTTTTGCTGCAGTTTAAGCCGAAGGTGCAAAAAGTAAAACAATAAGTCCAGTTTAACATGTGTACAGTTTGTGAACACCCAGTCTTCCTCCGTGCATTAAACCTGCGTACACGTCTTCAGGCCTCAGCCTTCGTCTGGACTCTCTCAAGCTCTCTGTGTGACGGACAGTGTGACGACGCTCAGCAGGAGAAGCAGAGCTACCGGAGAGAGAGAAGAGACGTTCGTCAGTTAAAGTCTTAAGAAATCATCACAATCATCTTTAATAAAAGTCTCATTTAACATCCAGTGGTATAAGGACATGAACACTGTTTTTGGTTTTGACATTTGTCTGAGTTTCCCCATTGGAGGTAATCACTAATTGTTCTTTGTGTTGCTCAGCATTAACGAGTCTAATTTTGTGTTTAAGCAGAAACTGAGGAATTAAAAGCTGGAGAAATGACCTGAAATTGCACGCTCCATGACAGAATGTTCATTTTTGTGAACTAACCCTTTAAGAAGAACTTCAACCAAGTTTAAAGATGCCACGTTTTCTCAGGTGGTGGAGATGGTGTTGTTCTGGTTGTGATTGTGATTGTGATTGTGAGCTAAGTTGTGTTGTGTTTGTGAACATGTTTCCAGTGGATGTTTGTTGTTTACCATATGAGCGGACAACGCTACTGGCTCCTGCTGTTGTGGCTCCTGCTGTTGTGGGTGTGGCTGTGGTGTTGACGGTGATGTTCAGGCTCCTGCTCAGGGAGATGTTGAACAAACCGAATGTAGCTGAAGAATAAAACCAAGAGTAAGAACATGGAAACATGACGTGACATTTCATTTATGTTACTGTACAACTAACGATGAAATATGATGAGAATTGTTTGTTGATTGTTTGGCGGGAAGATGAAAACCACGATTGATTAGACATTTTTGAATAGAACAAACCACAGAAAAGATTATTTTCTACTCTGGTAATGATAAAAAAAAATGGGATTTAAATGATATAAAAGAATCTGTGAGTGTGTGTCCACTCACTTCCGTTAAAACTACCCGTCCCCAGAAGGAACGTGAGGGTTTCAAAGCTGTTCCTGATGCCGTTCACATCAGGGATGTCAAACTCGCACTGGATCACGTCGCTGTTCACCAAACCTCGGATTTCTGTCACTCTCTGAAAAAGTGACATTCAACTAACATGAGCTCAGATAAATGAAAATAAACTTGAAACCTTTTTCGAATTTGTGTTCAAAAAATTAAAAGTTCAAGTAATATAAACAAATCATCCTGAAGTGTATTTCACTTTGTGTTCTTCCAGTTTCACATCATGTATGGAGGGTGATTAAGTATATCTTAGGTAATTCCTCTGTGAGTAGAGGTAAGACCTCACCGTCTCCTGTGGACTGAGCTGATTGTCGGTGTCGATCTTCATTGTGCGGAAGAAGAACGTCCCATTGTCCGAGGAGTTCTGAGCACAGACGAAAAGCATGGTGGTTTCCTGAGGGCAGAGGAGGTGAAGGATTAGATTATTTCCTCATGCCGAGGTGCTACTTGTCACAGTCGTCAATGATTCAAAGATGTTATAAGACACTTGTTCAAGTTTCCAACTCTTCCTGTTTTGTCTGTTTGTCGGAGCCAGTGTCGTCTGTGTAAATCTAAAGTGTTGGATTGAGGAAGAGGTGGAGGTCATTGAGATAAGCCTGGTTTGCTTTTTCTTTTTAATGCTCTTTTTAATGAACATTTTAGCAAACAGCATTTGCTATTTTGACCTTTTTTTGTGTTGGAGATTGCCTGTAGTACATTTAATGTCTTCAATTATCTCATCGGCTTTGCATTGTCTCCACCAAGGAGGTTGTGTTTTTGTCTTTTTGTCTGATATTAACGCAAAAACAACAGGACGGGTTAACACAACACTTGGAAGGATGCAGTGTGGGTCAGGAAAGATCCCAGTAAAGTTCTGGTGCACCTCCGGATCAGTCAAACTTTTACATTGTGAAGAAGAGCGTTTATTTTTAACATTGACGTCACTTGATGAAAGAAGTCTGGCACATTGAGGAAACTGGTATTTTGGGAATGTGTGCTGTGTCATTCTAGCTTTGTGTGTTTTACCTCTGACGCATTAATTCCCAGTGCAATGTAACCCGCTGATTCCCCTCTGAGTTGGATGGACCGGTCTGCTCCGAGGACCACAGACCCAAACAGACAGGTGTCGTTTCCTGCGGGGTCACACTCGGTTGGTTTCTCCAAACACAGCTTAGAGTCTCCGCAACCTTCTCGAGTGATGTTCACCTGTGAGACACACAAACACACACTCACGTACAGCACGAGTCACAAAAGAAGGCAATCAACAGCTTCAGCCATTTGTAGTTGGTCACAATGAAGAAAAAACATCTAAGAATTTATATATTATTATTCTCTTGAGAATGAAGTTATTTGCATGTGAGACTAAATCCTGTTATTTTCTTCAATGTTGTTTTTCCTCCAGAGCCGTCAGAGGACGAGTGAGGTGAGTCAGCGATTCTTGCTGACGCCACATTTTCATGTTTTGTGATGTTTACTGCACGACATGAATAAAAATGGTGGTGGCTGAGTCGAAGAGAAACACACAACGAGGAGGGCGTTTGTAAAGTCTGAGGAAATCACCCAGGTTTGAAGAAATGTAAAATCCAACCGGTTTGGATCTTGAGCTCCTTTAATCCAGTTTGAGACCATAATAACTCACAGGTAACAGGTTCATTGACCCCTGCATTAATATGGTTTAGTTGTCGGTTAAACATATTTTTGACATTTCTGTAAACCATCAAAATATACAGAGAAGAATTATTTAATAAACCTAAAAAATAAACATGATACTACAGCTGGTGAGTATTTGTGTTCATGTCCACTCAAATAACCAACAGTAGAACCTGCTGGTCAAATTGTGAATATATTTGCTGAACAAATATTTTATATGCAAACACTGCAAAGGTCAAAATGACATTGATGTTCATTAAGTGGAATGAAAGACCAACCTGTGTGTTGTTGGCAAATGACAAATGTGCAGTTCCTTTGACACCTGGTGCCACGGAAACCATCACGGCAGCAAACCACAAGAAGAAACCTCGTTCCATTTCTGACAGGGAGACACAAGACACACAGAAATGGAGCAAACTGTACAAATCTTATTATTGAAACAGTTATTTTATATTATATTTATATTTATAATTATAATTTTACCCACTTCTGGAAACATTTCTTGAGGACCTATTTCCTCCAACATACTTTTATTTAATATCCAATAACTTCACATTTAAACACCACAGAATCCTGGTGAATGGCACACACTATATACAAATACATTTCAGGCTTTCAAGGAAATGCGATGGTCTTAAATCCTCATGGTTTGATTGATCACTCTCAATCGAATCCTCAGAATTAACTTGATGTGAAAATGATTTCTGACAACCAGCAAAGTAAAGCGGAGAAATAGAAAAAAGATTTAAAAAGTTTTGTGGGACTCACCTCTGAGCTGTGAAAGTGACCTGTGGAGTTAGAGTGATGTTGTGAGTTCAGGTGTCTCCGCTCCTCTGAGTGTGTGTGCAGACGTCAGCGCTGATGCTCGAGCTGCTGGTGCGGCAGACGTGTGTGGATGATGTGTGTGGATGATGTGTGTGGATGATGTGTGTGGATGATGTGTGTGGATGATGTGTGTGGATGATGTGTGTGGATGATGTGTGTGGATGATGTGGGTGGCAATGGGCCTGGAGACTGGGTTTTTTGCAGCATCCTGGAGAAGGCGTGTCTCTGTGAGAATTCCGCTGAATGATGACCTGTCCTGCAGGTTAATACCTCTGAGTCTGCGTCACCTTATTGGAAACTAGCTGCATCATTGTTCGGAGGCAGATTTGTTGATATCACAAAGAATTTCTGTTCAGAATCTTTAGTTTGGATTATTGAACTAATGTTCAACTGTTCATCCACGTTACACATGAACAAATAAAAAACACATTAAGTATAATCTATAATGTCTTTGTTAATGTGAATCCACTTAATTGACAAACTCAACTTTAAATTCCACTGTTTATTTCTACTTAAACTAGTAATAGACATATATTACGTTGATTAGCGGAACATTGCACAGTGTTATTTTCCATCCTGGCACCTGCTCATGACCGACCGACTCATCACACTCCAGTCAGGTTAGTTTGTCTGTGTTCCAGGAAAGACAGTTTGTTTCCTGATGCTGAAGTTTTGGAACATGATTCCAGCCCCAACCGTCCTCAGAGAACAACAGAGTACACAGCACAAATATACCATAAACAAAGAAAACAGAAACCGTCCACTGAGAGTCTGTCAATGTTTCCCTGATAATGATCAAATGACGAGCGCCTGAGAACAGGGTGTGACCGGACCAACACCCGGATCAACCGAGAACAAGGAAACAATAAACCTCAAGACATTTAAGAAAACAGCAGGAGAAATCTCAAAACAGAACAACTGCAGCTACTGTGAGAGCTCAAAGTCCATTTGGTGAATTTGAACTCAATGCCTGCCTTCACCTGAGCGACCCACAAGACTGAAACACAGAGTTCTAGAAAAAAGTCTGGATTTCTTTGTACCTGCTTTAATTCATTCGGGTAATTTAGGTCTGACACACTTTTAAAACCTTAATCACTTTGCTATGCCGTCACACAATACTACTGCACATAATAAAATGCAACAGTTTCCTGATTCCAGAAAGGTTATCGCTCATCATCACGGAACCAGGGGGACGTCACCAACTCTACGGTTTCCATGGCAGCATGTGATCTGTGATGTGACTTTGAGTTCTGGAACGTCACCTCAAACAAAACTGAGTTAAGTCATCGCAACCAACTCGTGATAACTTGAGAGTATTTGATCGAAATGGTTTTAGGTTAAAAAAAACATCTCTCGGCTGAAAGGCAGGTTTCTCGTGATTTAACCTGAGCTGCCGTCACAATGAGGGTCGCTCCGCGGTGGTCGCTCATCAAACAGACTGCAGACGTGCAGGTTCAATCGTCTCCACGCTGAAGTGTTTGCTCTCTAGGTTTGGACTGTTTGGCCTAAATACACAGTTTAAAAAGAGGAGCACCCGCAGCAGTGTGCGGTCATTGACAGTAAACAAAGGCGGAGGAAGCAGGTCCATGAAAGAGAGACCGACTTTACTCAATTCAATTGTATGTGTATGGCACTAAATACATACACACACATTATCTAATGATGCTTGAGCGAGAACAAGTCAGCGACTATTAGACTTCATTCAGACATTCATGGTCCTCAGAGGCTGAATCCCACTGATTTTAGTGAATCTTTTTTAATTTAAATTATCACCATGAAACTGAACATTTGTGGTTTCGAGTAAAATGTCTCCACAACACTTCATCGTGATTCGAGGTTCAAACATTCATGTTCTAGTGGGATAGCTTGAATAAAAAGATAATTCGTTTCTTGATGAGTAAAAAGCATAAATATGCAAATGTCAAACTCCAAAATATAACATGAAACACAGTAAATCTCACAGAATAGAGGAATTTAATCTGTTTGTGTTACTTCGGCACAAGTGTTTCTCAATCTGCAGTCGTCACAGGTGATTTCAACACATGTGAATGTGCAGAAAATACAACACGGAATCGCTCAGTGGAAAATATTTCAGACGCTGGCAATTAACAGAGCAAGAAGAAACGAGTATTGATGCAAAACAACATAAAGCCGACCCGAAGCAACACAGGCGTGATTGAAAAAAGAGGCAAAATTGATCAGATTAAACTTAAATTTAAAAAAAGGTCACAGGAAACAAAAAAAGAGTTTGGAAGACGAGTTCAGAGACAGAAAAATGAGAGAGAATCGACATAAATGACCAGAAAAGACAAATAAAGAGGAAATAGGTGCAATTTGACCTTAAAGAGACAAACATGAGTTTGAAGATGTCAGAATTTAAATTCAATGTCTTTGGTCATTGATTGGTTTTGTTCACACAATTAACTTTGTGTTTTGGAAGGTGATGTAATCATCAAGTGAATGAGTGACTGAAATAACCATTAGTTGCAGCGTAACGTGACTCCCATCGTTCACCCACTCCCACCGGAGTCATCGGGTCTCCCCTCTTATTACTGCAGCTCCGCCCGACTGAAGAGGTCTGATCCCACAATGACTGAAAGCACAGGGAGGGTGCGTTCAGGGCCTCTGAGATAAAATCATTGACAAATAGCTGTGACTCAGCATCTTTTCAGCTTGATTTTTTTATTTTTATTATTTTATATTTGAAAGCCAGGATAATTCAAATTTGAGCTTCTAATATTTGTACTTCATCTTCGATTAAAAGTGACAAAGGACACAAATCTAATGTGGTTAAAACTCCCGAGAGGTCCCGACACCTGGTTTGGGAACAGACTGTTTACACAGGGACCCACTGGTTTGAATACGCTCCTGGTTCAGCTCTCTGCTGCAGCCCAGTGGAGATCAGGTATTATAAGAAAAACGTTTCCGTCATCTGTAGCTGAGTTTTGAGTCCATCAATCAAATGTTTAGAATCATGAGCAGGTGAATTATGATTTAAAATTAAAAGGACAAAATAGCATCAAGTTTCAATGACTAATAATTTATTTAATTCAATAAGAAACCAGCACCGTAGAAAATAATGTTTACCTCTATAAAAAACACACACAGTGAAAATATGAAGCATCAGTAGTGTAAACGGACAAAGTGCAACATGGCACCGTGTTCCAGACACGTTGTCAAGACGCACCGCCGCCTCGGACGACACAATACAAACACAGCATGTGTGTAGGAAAAGGACAAATATAAGTTTTACCCTGAAACACCAGTAATACAGAGAAACGTGTTGCATCATGTATCAGAGATACACGGTCAGTGTACGAGAGTTACCTCTGGCACAACGTCAGTAAATCATCATCACGAGCCATCAACCAAACACGAGCAGCCTCTAAGCTGTTTACATTTACACCATGTCAGGAAGTTTAAAAGGAAGAGGATGTTAAACTGTTTTAAAATGTCCGACTGAAACGTTTTAGAATATTTATCGACTTTCTAAATATAAACTAAATTCTACCAGCAGCAGCTTTAAAAGGCCGAGCAGTGATTTCTACTAGTATTAGTGTAAACAGCAGCTTCTCTTTCCACAGCCGCACATTTAATGCAAAGTCAAACCATCAGTACAACATCAACAATATTTAATCGGAGCTTCTGTGTGGTGGAGAGAAAGTTCTTCTTCCCACTTTCTTAATTTCAAAATTAGATTTTTTTGAAACACGGTTTCTAAGAAATCTGTGAAGTTTGTGTCCGGCTGAAATCTCTCAGGGTTCTTGATCCCCGTAGTACCTCTATTCAGAAATCTGAGTTAATTGTTAACATTATTTTTAAGACCTCTGTTGTATTAATTGTTAGTTTTATTGCTTTTAATCTTATATTTGAGTTATTTAACACGGTGCAGCTGTATTTTATTCCACATTTTGAATTTTTTACGGTCTAATTATTAGTTCTTCATGTTGAAATCTTTGTAAAAGTGACGAATAAATAAAGTTGTGAGTATTATTATTTATTAAACCGGCTACTAAGAGAGAAACTGTGGTTTGAATATTGAAAAGTGTGTAAACAGGAGGCTGAACTTCCACCCAGGGTTTTTTTTAAAGAACTGATAAATGACCATCGACGTTAGAAATGAGTGATGATAGATTCCTGTTCGTGTTTTTCTGATTTTGTCGTTTGAGTTGTTCACAATAAATAAAGTGTAGATTTTGTCCTCGTCCATTAAAACTAAATATAGAGTCCGTCCTCCATCAGAGTTCCGGATCCAGGTCTGGATCCTCCGCGGCTGTGTTCGTCCTCTCTGTGTCTCTCACTTCCCCTCTTCTCTCTGTCCCTCCTACGACTCCCTCCTTCCTCTCTCCGCTTCTTCCTCTCCTCCTCTTCCTCCTGCTCCTCACCTCCCGCTCTCTCAAACTGCCTCCTCGCGCTCTCCACCCTGCTCCCTCGTTTCTCCTCCTGCTCTCTCCTGTGGTGACTCCTCTGATGGTCGGACTCGTGGCTTCGGTGCGACTCTCTCCTCGAGTCACTCTTTCCTTGATCCTCTTGTTTCGTCCCTCTCTCCCTTCCTTCTTTGCTTTCTCTCTTCTCCTCTCTACTCATCTCAGCTCTCCAGTCTCTCACCCCTCGCTCCTCCTCTGGCCTCCTCCATCTCTCCGTCTTGTCACTTTCCCTTCGGGCGAGTCTCTCCACGTCTCTGCTGCTGCTTCCTTTCTCCTTATCAGTTTCTCTCGTTTTATATTCCCTCCATCTCTCTCCGTCTTGCTTGCTTCTGCTGCTGTGTCTCCTCGTGCTCCCACTTTCCTCCTCCTTCGCTTTACTCGCTGATTTCCCCTCATGCCTCATCCCTCTTTCATCCCCTCTGCTGCTCTCACTTCTTTGACTCTCTCTCTCCGCTCTGACTCTCTCTGAACTCGTCTTTCCTCCACAGTCCTCTCCCGTTTCTTCTTTAGCCTTGTCTCGCTTGCTCTCATAAATTTCTTTCACAGCCGTTATCCGGTTTTCCATTTCTTTGTCTTTTTTTCTTCCTTTCTGAGATTGTTCTTTCAAAACCTCCTTCTCAGGCTGCTTCTCCACTTTGGGCTCAGATTTGTTTTCTTCTTCTTTATCCTTTTCCGTCTCTTTTCCCTTCTTTCCCTCCTCCTTTTTGTCATCTTCCCCTGTTTCCTCCTTCTTCTCCTTTTCGTTATTTTTCTCTGGATCTTCTTTTTCCTCCTTGTTTTTAAGAGTTTCCTTCTCCAGCTCTTTGTTCTTCTGCTCCTCCTCGACCTTCTTGTCCAGTTTCTCCTCCAGGAGGTCCAGCTCCTGCTCCAGCTCGGCCAGCTTCTTCGGGTCCGACTCAAACTCGTCTTCGACCTCCACCTCCACTTCCTCGAAATCCTCGTACTCCTCCAACTCGATGCCGTCCATGGTTTTCTGCAGCTGCGTCTTGACCTTGTTCAGCTCCAGGAGGCCGCCCTGCAGGTCTTTACAAACCTCTCTGATCTTGGTGGCGAATTTGGTTTTGGCGCCTTTGTGGAGCTCGCGGGAGTCTTTGGCGAGGAAGAACACATCCAGAGCGAGGAAGAGGGCCGACATGACCCCTGTGGTGACGCTGATGGCCTGGGCGGCTTTGGCGGCGCCGCCTGCCGCGCCCAGAATCTGCACGGTGCTGATGAGTTTGTCAGTGTTGATCATCAGGGCTTTCCCAGCGCGGCCGCCCTCCTTCATCACGTGTTTAATGTTGTGGTTCATGGCCTTTTTGGCAGCACTCTGAGAATATTTTTCAAAGTCCCACTCCTCCAGGGTGTTCATACCTTCCTACGAGAGACACAGAGACGAGAGACGAGGGTAAATATTCACTCTACACTCACATTTATGTCGCGACAACTTCCTCATCGACGTGTAACTGACGACATGATGACACCAGCTGAGGAATAAGTGACAAAAGTTTTCTAACCTGCACAAACTCCATACACTCCCTGATGTCTTTGATTTCCTCCTGGTAGTCCTGGATCATCTTCTCCAGCTTCTTCCTGTCCATGTTGGAGTGAACCGCGTCCGTGATGTTAGCCGTGGCCGAGGTGATGCTGCCGGCCGTCGCCACGCCTATCCCCACCGCCGTGACGATGATGGAGGCCCCGAAGGTGAAAGGGGCCAGAATGAGCCCCGTGATCGTGGCCACGCTGCCGGCCACGCTGGCCACGCCTCCGCCGACCGCCGCCGACACCGTTTTCTTGTGGAACTGATCGGATGCGTCGGCCAGGGACAGGAGCTCCAGGATGCGGTGCTGTAAGGACGCGCCCCGCTTGTTGAAAAGACGCACGAAGAGACGAGCGGCCATGTAGACACGATCGGCTGCCTGCTCCAAAGCCCTGAGGAGGAGGGAGGAGAGTCAGAGCTCGAAACTCATGGGATGAACAAACAAAACTGAGAGTTTTATAATTAGTCTTTTTTTTTTTTATGTCATTCCAACATTTTATTGGTCCTTGTTGTCTTTGAATTGATGAAATGGTCAAAAGAAAAAGAAAATTTTTATCCTTTTTGAAGAAAGTTCAATGATCAGGTTGAAGGTTATATTTGTCAGATAGAAACTTTATTTGATTTTAAGCTGTTTGGCAGATTTTTTTAAAAATCAAGACAAATAATGATATTTTTTCACTATTGAAAAAAAGGGGGAAAACTGAATTGGATTTGTTAAATTAAAAAAATGAAATGAAATAAAAAACAATGCTTACATTTCTCCATCCTCCGGCTGGAAATTGGAAATCTCGTTCCACTCTGCCCAACCTGGAAACCAGCAGCAGAAACTGTATAATTAGTATTAACACTAGTTTCAAGTCATTGATTTAACATGTTGACGGTGAATTTTCTCCTGTTGGAGAACTTCTACTAAACATGCATGTTATCAAATGAACACTGACCTTTCACTGTGTTCCACCACTCGGTCAGTTCATCGTTCTCCTGAAAACAAACCGTGAAGAAGAAGCTGAGATCTTGAATTCATGGAGAAAAACACGAAACCACACACGAGCACTGAAACGCACCAGCTCAGACTGAAGAGAGTCGCCTTCTGTCGGGTACGCTGCCATCACCACAGGCTGGACCTCCACTGTGCTCTCCTGGAAAACACACACAACTGTAACACAACTTTTAACACAAACATTTCCCCTGGAACATCTGCACACGTCTGGGTTTTCACTTCATGACCAACTGGTAAATATCTGTGTTTATCAATGAGCTGCTGATAAAAATGAAATATCCTAAGTGGATGTGTCTTAGCGAGAGGCTCTGTTGGACATGATGCATGATATAATATTCTCATGCAAACCTGTGCCGGGTTCAGCTCCTGCATCTCCACTGTCTCCGTGATGATTGGCATCTTATCTGAAGACTGAGCAGGAGAAAAGAGAAAGAAGAAAATGTCTTCAAACAATTTAAATAAAAAAAAAAAAGGACAAAGCATAAATGAAAATGTTGATCTGAGTCACATGGAATCACTTTTTGAAAAACCTTTTATGCAACTTAATGTATAGAAACCCTGAAAATAAGCTATTGTAAGTAAACTTTATTGTAAACTCAGGAAATGTTTCTCTCTTCAGATCCGTGATGCAGTTAAAGAACAGGAGCAGGGAGAGAGACTGAGGAGCAGCGACATACCTGTGTCCCCTTCGGTATTTTAGGAAGAGTCTTCTTGATTCTGAAAGACACGATCTGAGGAAATCAAACAATACAAACACACGATCAGAGTTTACACGTCTTCACTGAGGAGAAATTCATGTGGTTGAATACGTCCAACCACTCACTCGTCTTTTCTTCTTGATCGTCCTCCTGCGTTTCAGCCCGCCTCCCTGTGGAGCCTCCATGTCCACGCTCTCCTGCAACACAGGGAAAACACATTTACAGAACAGCCGCACAGGAACAGTCGTCCACATAGAAACACATTTATTATTGTATTTGTATTTTAATCTGTTTTATGTTTTCTCACTACGGATCATAGAAATAGTTAAACACGTCAGGGTCTCAGTGCTGATACGATCGTACCTGTGGCTCCACAGTTTTCGGCGTCCTCCTGAACATCCCAGCAAATCCTCCTTTAGTTTCCTGTGATAAAAAATAACACATGAACACGAGCAGCTCACGCAGTCGAACACGTTCTCTCACCGGAACAGACTCACCTTCGCGTTGCCTGTAGCTTCAAGGAGATTCTCGTTACTGGCAAACATCTCACGCTGTGTTGACGGATCCTCCTGAAAAGCAATTTCAGAAAACATATGATACAAACTGATTAAAAATGTTTCTGTTCCAAGTTTTTACAGCAATAATTAAATAAATAAAAATAGTTTTGGGGCCTCCCTGCTCCTTAGAGTTGTGTATTCATTGTGGTAAACCAGTCAACAGTATTCACATGTAGTATTCTCATGAAGGTTCAGTATTTGAGTAGAAGCTCTCACCTCATCAGCATCTTCCAGACTGTCCCTGCTGGAGGACAGTTCCTTCGAGAGTGGATCCTGGAGAACAGTTTGAACGGTTTAAAAAAAAGTTCATGTGAGATTTCATGGTCGTAAAAAAAACCAACTTGCACATCAGCAGTTCACCTTGGTGGCGACAGAGCGCGGAGCCGGTTTGGGAGATTTTTTGAAGATGCCTGCAAGTCCTCCGCTTTTCTCCTGACACGCGTGAAACATCGACACGTTAATAATCGATGCATGATCGACGAAAGGAGAGAAACGGATTGAGATGTTCGTACCTTCGTTTTGTTCACTTCTAACAGATTTTCGGAGCTGGCTGATAATTTCTTATCCTCGTCTGAGTTTGACTCCTGAAAATAAAAACACATTAATACACAGGTTCAGTGTCACATGACGTCGACCTCACATTAAAAAAGTTATTACTGCACCTCGTCTGCTGCTTTTGGAGTTTTCTTGAACATCCCACTGAAAATACTTTTCTCCTGAAATAATGTGAGAGAACATCAGAACAGCTGATGTGATCAAATGCACAGGAGCAGTTGTGTTGCTTCGTGGAACTAAGATAAACGTGTAGACTCAGGGAGGTGACAGTTCTGTACCTTGGTGTTGGTGTTTTCAGACAAACTGTCGTTACTCGCCCTCAGCTCGTCTTTGTCCTGAGTGAAGAAAACAACGATGAGCGGTTAACGAGCGTCAGTCCCCGACAGACGACGATGCTCGGAGCGGAAACACGGACTCACCTCGGCATCATCTCCAGACGCTTTGGGTGTTTTCTTGAGGAGGCCACTGAAAAGTCCACCTTTCTCCTGACGAGCACAAAATGAAGATGCAGGGACGGTTCAGTGACGAGGAACAAAAACCAAAGAGTGTTGGACAGACAAGTTATCATTGGTTGACAGAGGTCGTCTCTTCACAGACACACTGATGCTGACCTCATCGAACAGGTTGTCAATGCTGGACGACCTTTTGAAGATTCCACCCAGGCCTCCTTTCTTCTCCTGAAACATTCAGACACACAACGAGAAGTTGAGTGAAGAGTGAAAACAGCTTTATTTCAGAGTGAATCAGACGTATTCACTCTTTCCTAGAATCAGAATTAAATCTTAGGAATAAAAACTACAAACACTGTTAATGTTTTTACGACTCATTTATATGTAAAGCTATAATTTACTTCTGTGTAATGAATATTTTTATTTTCTATGTTTGTACATTTTGCTGATTATTCTCAGTTACTTGTATAAAAAGTATTTTTCCAATGTGGCATTAGTTTTACTACTTAAATCAACTAAGACTTTCATTCATTCCTTTCTTTTATTTTACAGTATTTAATGTTTATTTGTCATTTTCAAATTAATCATTAATCATTTTCAAGTTCACTACAAACTATTGTTATTAAAATATCTCTGATCTGGTTTCAGTTCACGTTGTCAAGTTGAAAACATCTAAAGTGAAGAGGATTTGAAGAAGAAGAAAAACCTTCTGGACGGTCGCGTCCGTCAGATTCTCAAAGCTTCCAGAAATCTGTTTTCCACCGTTTCCGTCCTGCTCCTGAATTCAAACAAGAGAAACATCCAAAGAATCAGTTTCATCCTCCAGAGAAGTTTGAATAACTCATTTTATGATTTTAATAATAACATCAGTCACAGCACCTTGTCTGCTGCAGCGCCCTCTGCTGGTTTCTGCGGCTTCTTAAACATGTTGCTGAAAATGTTTTTCTCCTGAAAAATAATTTGTTGAATCAGTGAACGACCTGAAAAAACACTTTAATCCAAAGGTTCCAGCTGCACGTCACCGCTCACCTTATTCTCCGTCAGGTCGTCGCTGCTGCTCGACAGCTCCTTCTCTTCTCTTTCCTGAAACACAGACAATCAAAGCTGAGTGAAACACGAGGATTCATGTGATGGTTTGAAAAAACTCTGAGCAGACTTTCATTCACCGGCGACTCTGACTTCTCTCCTGAGGCTTTGGGAGTTTTCTTGAGGAGTCCGCTGAACAGACCCACACTTTTCTCCTGATGGAAACAGAAGAGAAACGAGCTTTAGGACGAGACGAGTGTTTTTAAAAAGTTTAAATGATGAAAACGAGACTGTTTCAATAACCTGCTTGTTCTCAGATAGATTTTCACTGCTGCCTGAGAGCTCTTTATCCGGAGATTCATCCTGTCACAGATTAAAAGTTGTGGTTAATGTGACCACATTAGAAATAAGGAGATAATATTTGATGCAGCTGCAGTCTCCTGGGTTATTGTTCAAAGATTCTACAAGAGTTTATTACTTTAATGGTGGAAAAGTGTGAAGTGTAAACAACTAATCACTTGAACTGAACTTATTATTCCTAAATTCTCATATATATATAAAATCACAATGATTCCTAAGATGTCAAAATCAAAACCTTGTGGAAAATTACATAAAGATAAAAAGAAAACACAGATATATAGAACTTGAAAAAATGTGCAGAATTTTTAAAGGTGTTAGTTCTGTAAAATAAAAGTTTTGATGTGTCCAAACAGAAACTGTGACACGGATATTTCTGTAAAAGGTTCGTGTCCACTAACTGATGAATCATTAGGACTGATTATTACATCATTACAGTGATGAACGTCCACGTTCTAGGAAATGAAAACACTTCACCTCCTCAGACTCAGCAGCTTCTGCAGGTTTGGTCGGTTTTTTGAATATTCCACTAAATATTCCTCCTTTTTCCTGAAACACGCCAACATGTCAGAAAATGTCCTTTTAGGGAAGTTACTTTGAAATGCTGTTTAGAAATAAGCCTCTCACCTTGGTGTTGTTCTCAAACAGAGCTTCACTGCTGCCGCTCAGCTCAGCGTCCTGCGGCAGAAGAACAGTTCAATCATAACCTGCTCCAGAGCGGAGATGAATTTACTTTCCTCACAAATACTGAAATATTGTTTCTCACTTTCTCTGTGGGAACGTCTGCAGGTTTGGACGATTTCTTGAATATTCCACTGAACGCACCTCCCTTCTCCTGAAACACAGGTTCTCTATTTATTCACGTTATTTAATCCTCAGAATATGGAATCAATTTAGAACATATGACACGTATGAATACAAAAATCAACTTAACAACAGAGCAAATAAAAGAAAGTTAGAGCAGTGCAGTAGTAAGTTGTTTTCAGTATTCGACTTCAAAACCACAAAGAAAACACTGTTTTCATTAAGTTTGCATTTAAATGTATAAACAGACACATTTCCAGAGAAGCCTGAGAGCGTCACCTTTGTGTTGGACGCCTCCGACAGACTGTCGCTGCTCGCCGACAGATTCTTCTGTGCCGACAGATTCTCCTGAAACAAGAATCACATGCTCACATCGTGTGATCAGTGTTGGATCAATGCATCGTGTATAAAGACGCCACTGTGGTGAGTGAAGCTTCATGAGAAAACTTGTGGGACGTATTTTAACTTTGATATTTACTCTTTTAAGAAAAATGACCCTTTCAGCCGTGGGTGCAGATTTAAATCTGAGAGAGCCCCTCCCCCAGGCAGCTCAAACTGGCCCTGAGCCAGTTTCACAGAGTTCACCGAGCGTCACACAGCACGAAAATCTGCTGTTTCTTTATACTTTATATTTGTGTTCATAGTTTATTGTCGGTTCAGAGCAGCTCCATGGAAACTACTCGTGTTTGTACCTCTCCGGCTGTTTTGGGAGTTTTTCTGAGGAGTCCACTGAACAAACCACCTTTCTCCTACACAGGAAGAAAACAGACTGAAATCAAACTGAAGAATCGTTTTCCTTCATCAAAATAAAATCTCAGGAACTTTATCATCCAGCGACTTTAGCTCAGACTTCGTGTTTGTGTCTGTGACTCATGCAGCGGTCGGTGGGTGCGTCTGTCACTCCTCTCACCTTGTTGTCCGACAGGCTGTCTGTGCTGGCGGAGAGTTCACCGTGCAGCGGCTCCGCGGCCTAAACAAAAAAATGTTACTCGACCTGTGTGAACACGAACGCTCGCTACACCTACACACAGACCTGGGACCAGCTGCGGAGACAATACTGACACAGGCGTGTTTGCACATGTTGCAATAACCTCATTACTGCAGAGGCCGAGCAGCTGACTGGTAATTCAGGAACTTACAGTATGTTTGAATCAGGTGCATTAAATGTTCACTGGCTGTTTTGTATTTTGAGCCAAACTGTGAAGTTAAATCTGCAAAAGCTTCAGAGTAAAAGTTAATAAATCACCTCCTCCAGTCGAGGCCCTCCGGACAGTTTGGGAGATTTCTTGAACATTCCACTGAAGACGCCTCCTTTCTCCTGGTGAACAAAGAAACGAAGTGAGATACAGAAACGTTTTTGAACAGGACGTCCTCCTCCGTTTGTGAAAAAGAAACAAATCTTACTTTAGTGCTGCTGTTCTCAGACAGATTCTCGTTGCTGGCTGTCAGCTCAGTCCCCAGCGACTCTTTCTCCTGAAACTCAACAAGGAAAATGTTAAATGTAAAAAGAGAAAAATGTTTTAAAAACACAAAAGGGAACTTGTTTTTAATGATATTTTGCAGGAAACAATGTAAAAGGTTGAACACAGACAGATTTTAGCTACGTGATTATTTCAAATGAGCAAATCAACAACACGGAAATGATTTAAATCTTCCTCCTGGAACAGGGAAACAAAATAAAACATCCTCGACTGGAGCTCCACATGTTGCAGGAGCACCACACACTGACCTGCCCAGATGTTCCCTCTGCAGGAATCTTGGGAGACTTCCGGAGAATCCCGCTGAAGAATCCTCCTTTATCCTGCTGACGTCACACCAGTGAATTCACACCGTCAGATACGATACTAACGATAACGCTGCGTCATGATCACTTCACCTCTCAGCTCACCTTCGAGTTTTCCGACAGATTATCGTTACTGCCCGACACGTCGTCACGTTGCTCCTGGAAACACAAAAATTCAGCATGACGATTAAACTCAACTGACAAGTTTTATTTATTTATTTATTTTTTTTACATCACCTCGTCGGTCTGAGCTGCTTCTGCTGGTTTCGGACTTTTCCTGAACATCCCGCTGAATATTCCTCCCTTTTCCTGAAGCAGACACAAGTTTTCACATCGGTGGATTCGTTCTGATGAAGTTCAGGTCGGTGACTCGTGCGTAACCTCTGTGAGTTAAAGATGAACTGAAGCTGCTCACCTTGTTGTGTTCAGACAGACTGTCGCTGCTCGCCGACAGCTCGCTGTGGGCGCTCAGGTTCTCCTGAAACATCAACGTTCACATCAACACTTTATTAGACGACATTAAAATACACATACACATATACAAACTCAGCTTGAGACAGAATCAGACATTTGATGCAAATAAACAACTATTATTATTTTATTATATTATTATTTTATTATTTTATTATATTATCAGATTATTCTAGAGGCAGCTCACCCGTTCAGGTGTCTCATCTGCTGGTTTGTCAGGTTTTTTAAAGATAGCAGAGAAGAGGCCTCCCTTCTCCTGTGGTGAAATGATGAAGACATTTTATCATTATCATCATCCTCACTATTCGACTTGAGTCTGTTATTAACCTTGTGAATCTCTTTTCTCCTTCATATAAATATTATATTAAGACGGACCTGAGGCTGGTCGGATATTTTCTCCACCTCTTCGTCTTCGTGATCTGTTTTACTGACCTGCAGGTGAACGCAACAACGAGTGAACAGGCTGGAAATCATCTCAACACTGGGAATTCAGTCTTGGACGAACTTAAACTCAGTTACCGTCAGTGAAGGGTATAATTTCTCTTTGGGAGTTTTCCGGAACATCCCAGTGAGCAGACCTTTGTCCTGAGGAAACGTGGAGAAATCAAATGTACAGTTTATCCACAGTATCATATAAAATACAACACATAAATCACTGATCCAGCAGAGCAGCGAGTCAGTTATGATTTTATGTGTTTATATGATTTCACCTGTTTGGATTCTGTGTTTTTCTCCAGCTTGTTTTTCTCTTTTTCTGCAGTTTGTTCTTTTTCTGCGACTCCGTCCTCGGAGCCGGGACTTGGACTCTTATCTCTGTTCATCTGAGACGAGAATCAACAGGATCATCAGTTACACTCGACAAGAGATTATAGGCTCATGCGTTCACCAGAATCTAAACCCTCTCCAGGATTGAAAAGGATCCTTCTGTAATATTTCACTTGTTAACATTTACAGCTGCTCTACAAATAAAACAGGGTCGATTTGAAATGATGCGGAAATTCGGACAGAATATTTAAAGGTCCAGTGTGTCAGATTTAGGGGAAAGGGAACTACTGGCAGAAATTTAATGAGGAATAATCCTCATGATGTTTTCACGAGTTCATTTCATCTAAATTGTATTTTCATGTAATTTTCTTTACCCCAGAAAAGGCTGTTTATATTCAAATACTTTATGTTTACATCGAGGGGACCCTCTCTACGGAGGCCGCCATGTTTTTTACAGACTGAACAAACTAAACAGCATTTGAGTTTTTATGGCAATTAAAGTCTAACACAGTTTCTTTCTCATGTTTGGAAGGAGAGGGGGAGGTGAGGGGTGTTCAGCTGCAACATGCAACCTCAACACTAGATAAATTCTACACACTGAACCTTTAAATATATTTTTTATTTAATTTAATATTTTTTTTTTTTAATCAATTAATTCAAACCAGCAAGATGCAAGAAAGTGACCGAACCAATAAGTTTAGAAAAAGCAGACAGAAGTTTGTGGCATGAAAACATCCGAGTGTGACGCCGACAAAGGTCCCAGGTTGGTTGTGAACCAGAGACGTCAACGGTCAAACTTTTAAACTTGTAGCCCAAAGACGCCAGAAAGTAAAAAGCTGAAGCAAAGACCAACATAATTATTATAATAAGATGCATTTACTCTCTAACAGGCTGAGCAGCAGACAAAGCTGAGGCTGAACTATCACAGAGCAGAATGAGGAACGTTAGCAGATGTTCTTCACAAGCAGCTCTTCAACATTTCAACGTCTTCAAAACCAAACAGCAAACTCAGCGACCAGAGAGAGAGAGAGAGGGAGAGAGAGAGAGAGAGCAGCAGGAAACACTGAAACACAGCTCTTCTTTGTACCTTAGGTGACGACTTGAATTGCCAACCTTTCTTTACTCCCTTCAGAACGCCCTGTCAACAACAGTCACATGTCACAGACCGGCCGATGACACACACGTCCACATGCACACAGAGAGAAACACACACCGGTTTGCTGCCAGGAGCCTGCTTGGCCGAGACGTCGACGTTTCTTGTTTCCTCCTCGTCACAGTCGTCAAACGCATAACTCTGAGGAGGAGCAGGAGGAGGAGGAGGAGGAGAACAAATGTTGACTTGACAAATTCCCTTTGGAAAAAAAAAACTGCTTCATTCATTTACTACGTAAAAAATATTATTTATCACAGTTTTAATTCAATTCTCTGAATGTTATGAGACTCATGTGATGCTGACACATTTACACACCCACTGATCTCACACACACACACACACACACACGCACACACACACACGCACACACGCACACACACACACACACACACACATCCGCTTAACACCAGAAACCTGTTGAGCTTCTTTTACAAAGTGACTCATGAATTCATTCTTGTACTTTTATACTTGAATTCTTACATGTTTGTTTAACTACAAAGTAAAATGTCCTCAGCAGCCAACAGGGATTCAGGATTTGACTCAGCTGTTGAACCGACATCATTGTGTGTGTGTTGTCAGCATATGTTTAACAATTTATTATGATTTACAGGTAGAATAAAATAGAGACTAGAATATCAAAAATATCTTGTTCTGTTCTGCGGCGCTTTTTAACGTGAAAATACAAAACGTGTTGCTTTAATTTCATTTTGAGAGTCAGTTGGAGACGTTGAGAAAAACAGCAGCGTGTGATCTGTTATAAATACTAAAATAATAAACTGTCAGAGTGAACAATGGTAAAATCCAATGGAACTCATGTAAAGGTGAGTAAAGTGCGGCTCAGTGAGCAGACAGGAGTTCCTTCAGGTGCTTTTCTTACAGTGAACGTGGACGTTTTCTCCTTCTGGCTCCGTCGGAACATTCCCGTCAGGTCCAGCGGTTTATTCTGCAATCAAAGCGCGTGTAAAGAAAGAGGAAGATGTTGTGTGCAAGCCTCATTAATGTGGTCGGACACTTCTACCTGTTTGAAATCTGCTTCATCTTTAGCAGCTGGTTTGTTCGTTTCTCTCTGAGGGAAAGAGGAAGAACGTTCACTCTGACATTTATTTTAAAAAAGCACAAAGGAATGTGAGGTTGCATTGTTTGTGTACCTGCGTGTCCTCAGTGTGTGTCCTCCTGCTTGTTGTGTCCAGTTCCTGCACAACAAACACACACACAAGAAGCCCAGAGGCAACAACACGATTAGAATATGATACAGGAAACACGAAAGAAACATGAAACCTTCAGTGGCTCAGGGAGATTTTTATCTGTAAACTGTTCTCACACTCTGACGCTGACTAGCTTTGATCACAACACAAACACAAGTGTTCCCACAATACCTGGAGTCGTATTAACTGTTCAGTTGAAAATGCATGGCTGGTTGGGTACTGAACCTTGTCTCTGCGTCGAGGCGCAGCCAGAGGAGTTTCAGGCGATTTCACTTTTCTGTCTTTTTTTCCATCATCCTGACACAGACGGAAAAAAAGGTCACAACACACTCAATAATCCACTCAGGGAATAAAAGTAAACATGTGCACAGTATTTATTCAAATCAGTATGAAAGCCACATGTTAAATACTTCATGTTCATGTTTACATGATAACTTCGGACAGGTTGTTCAAGATAAAAGATAAAATACATTTTCTTCATGTTCGGAAATCAATCAATCAATCAATAAATATCTGTAACGTCAGCTTCCTAATTAAAATCAACGCTTGTGTGTAAAAAGAAAAATGAATGTGTAACAAGTGCAGTAAATACCTCATTGTTTGTCGCTGCTGCTCTTTTTATTCTGTATTGTGTCTGAGTCAGTTCCTGGACGGAAAAAAAGCAAAGTCTTTCAACCAAAGTGGACAATTCTCCTTATTTACAGACTCTTAGAAAAACAGCAGGGAGAATATTTAGATTTTTTCTTTCCTCTGTTGTGTTTTATAGGTTTTTGTGAAAGTTTTTAATTTCTAACCTGTAAATCAAAGTTACTGTATAAATAAAGTTTATATTGCACATTTTGCAGGTAGTAAGCCCCGCCCCCGACACAGGTGAACATGTAGATATTTTCATATTATATTTTTTTGGCAGAACGTGTCTCCTTTAAAAAAAAAAAAAAAAAGTGTGACTGCGGAAAAGGATCTGCCGTAAAACTTTTTCCACTACAACCCAGACTAAAAGAAATCTACTTAAATGGTGCCAGATGTTTAAAGCGCGTTGGAACCACATCTGCTCCAGAGACACACGAGGAAAACACTTCAACCAGAAGTAGCTTCATCTCAGAACCTCCATCTCGTAAAAGTGTAACAGGCCGAACACGAGATGTTGGACTCACAGCGTCTGAAGGTCGAGGAGGAACCACGGGAGCTGGTTTCTCTGGGTCACTTCTCTTAATCTGGAAAGATAATTTCTGATTTCATTATTTGCACAAGGGTGTGTGGCCTCACTGCAAGAAGTCCTACACAGAATAAATCTCATGTACTACTACTACAGCAAACACACGTTAGCACACACGAGGTTTGATTCCAGTACCTCGGTGGGCTTTGGAGGAGGTTTAGGCTGCAAACACAGAGGACAACACTGTGTATTAGTACAAAGTCTGTGTATCAGGACATATGTTATATCTTTGTGTTTCTGGTATTTTGCTGAGTTTGGATACAGAATCAGTGTTTTCTGTTCTGGATGCAGATGTTCTCACCGGCTTCGGTTTCCCTTTGACCTCTGGCTTCATCATGCACGCCTCCATCCTCCTGTGGAAACAGCACAGACAGAAACACGGATAAATATGAACAACTACACGTTAAAGGAACCTCCAGTTCGCCCCTACACAACATTCTGCTTCCTGTGGCAAATCACAGCGTGGCTTCACAACTTCTGGGAACTCAATGTTTTGTTTCAGATTCACAAATGTGAGACACTGACACTGGTTTAAAACTGGAGCATCGTCACTTTACATGTCTTTTTAATTGTCCACTGATAATTCAGAAAACAGTAAAAGTGTCCATCTCACTGATGGAAAGAACAAGAGACAAGATGGCGTCTGGACGTGTCTGGTTTTAACGCAGCAACAACTCAAATCTCCAACTAATTTTTACGCACGGGACCAAAAAACCAGCTAATTCTGACTTGAACGTCATCACATGACACCAAACCAAAGTCACAAATATTAAATTGACCATAATGACCGAGGGAAATAGACAATTCTCACATTGGAGAAGCTGGAACCTTCAAATATTTGAATCACAACAGGAAATAACTTTCTTTCAATGGGTAAATCAGCTCTGTAAAGTACAACACTCAGTATGAGCAGGAGAAACGAGGGAACCAGACAGTGCTTCGTAGCAATTTAAACATATTTAAGTGTAGAACATGTTCAGCTTGTACTTTATCTTGGTGTCATCACACAAAACAGTCAAACACAAGAGCAAAAGAATAATCAAAGGTCAAAACGAGTCCAGAATAAATAGATGAAAGTCTGTAGCCACCAGTAGTACCACAAAGCTGTCACTGTGAAGAAGTACTGTGCTGATGGAGACATAAAGTATAAGCTAATTTAAAGACACAAGTAACCGAGGCAGAGTGTTGAAGCCAAATATAAATACAGATTTAAAGAGAAAGAACTGAAGCTCTGCAAAGTTGAGCTTTATTCCAACAAAGCCAGTAAAAAACACGGAACAGCAGAAGTAAGAAAACTAAAAGGTGAGAAGGAGTAAAACTCAAATATAAAACTAGAGATTAAAAAAAAAATCAAATCAAGATCAACACAGGCAGCATATTAGCAGCGTGATGCAACACAATGAGAGTAATGCAGTACTGTGATGCACAGAGGGAAGTTTTTAAGTAATCTACAAGTACCTTCAAAAGTGTGGAAGTGTTGGACTGGTGTTGAGTATTAGTATCAGCTGATCCTGTGTCAGTTCCACTGAGAGACGTTTAGAGAAACTCAACTCAACTCATTTCCTCCATGTGGAGCCTGAGCTCGTCTGAAACCTCCTGAGATCCTCTGACGAGGAATTCAACTTTTAATTAGAAGTTTAAAGAGGCAAAGTGACGTCACACCGACCTGCCCCCCCCACCGATCAAACAGCAGAGAAGAATCAAAACTCACTTTCTGACTCGATGAGACTGAAGCAGCGTGAAGCGGAGGCTCCTTCACTGACATCACATCCCAGGAGTTTCAACAACTTCTCCACACCCACAACATCTGCACAGCGAGGCGTTCAAGAGCTGCACAAGAGCCCGGGAAAACACAGCACTCCACCCACACTTCTCTCCTGTTGCTCTGGTAATGTGCAGTAAAAGATTTATCTCAGTGATAAAAGTGTCAGCTCCACTAAAACACTTGTATATATATATATATAAATGGTATTTTGCTGTTTTTATTTTGTCTTGTTTCCACATTAATATATATTTAGTTTGAACATTTAAAGTTATTTAATAATGAGAATGGGTCTGGAAAAATAAAAGTTTCATTCTGATTTTAGCAAGAAAAAGAAAACCTGAGGATCAAATTATCCATAAGCTGTAAAAAAACAAAAAAAACAATCCACCCTAATGTCAATTTAAAAATATGTCAAACTACACACTAGCTTTGCATCGCACAGAAATACTTGTAATGCAATTTTAAAGACAATACTCCAAATAATATCTAATGCTTATATGATCAATTTGTTAATAGTAATAGAAACTTGCAATATTATATATTTAGAGTAAAATAAAATGGAAAACAACAACACGCTCATCACTGTGAACATCTTCTCTCCTCTACACAACTCATGTTGACATGGTTTGTGTTTTTACCTCCATGTTGAGAAAGCATAATATGTCACCACACTGCAACATCACACAGGTCAAACAAAGCAACTCAGACAAACCAAACACGCCCTGAGAGCTTCTGAACCACAAAACCTCACAGAGAAACGTGAACACGTCTGTGACGGGACAAAGAGACGTTCAGAGGATCTGCACCGGGATCAGAAGCGTAATGTCTCACCTGGTCTCTTCAGTCTGAGAGGATGCAGGAGCAGAAAGCTTTGTCTGCTTCCTGCTTGCGTGGTGGCGGAGGACTCACCTGGGGAGAAGGGCGGGGACACTCTGAGGCCCACCTGTGTCTGTGGGAGTGGAGCAGAGACTCTGACTCATGGGTTTGACTCCTGGGTTTCACAAGCGTCAACAACTCGTGAAGAAAATACAAACACGAGGGGAGCAGATTTCAAAAATAGAAAAGAAGTAACTTAGTCATCAACGGACCCAGTGGACAGTTTATCAGGTTTATAATTTCACAGCACATTTTCCATTTTTGTTGTAGCTGCCAAAAGAAATCTGATGTTTTCTTTGATTATTTCACAATTTTCAGAGAATCATTTACTTTCTAAAATGATTTTATCTCAACATTTTCATCGAAAATGTTTAAAACGAAACAAAACTTCACAGCTCATCGGAAAAAGTACTGGATCTATTACATTTTATATTTTGCTGTAATTGAAACAGTTTTCACCAAATCAGCGTTAGATGAAAACTTTGATATAAATGTGTTTTCTCCCTCCTGATGTTGGAGGAGTCCAGAGAACTGTGGGTCTGTGTCTGAAGGCTCCTGAGCAATCTTACTTTTATTACTATGAACTTTTCAACTCTGAGATTTAACTTCACGTCCCTTGTACTCACTATGTTCACAACATTTGCTCCTTCTCACATCTGTTATCATTATTTTTTTACTCTCATGAATTCAGTGATGTCAACTGTGGACTCATGGGTGGGGTCAGTAAACGGTGACATCACGGCCGGGTGTGGTTAGAAGAACAATGACGTCTGCGCCGAACGTCGACCAGCAGCTTTGTGTCTGTTTGATTGAAGCGGATTCTGCTTCACTGATTAGTCTCATGTCAACGTGAAGCTACGACTCTAGATTTCCAACAGGCAAATCCTCCTGCAGCCGATTGTCTCCAGAGTTTCCGTCTTCATATCAACATAAAAACTACATTTTGTGACTCAAGTGTATTCGTTGCATTTCAAGACCTTCACAAACTGCACAGATTGTGTTTCTGACTTTTTATTAACAATTTAAATTTATTGCACATGAAGCTCTACAGTATATTGCACATAAAAGGTGTCACCAAATAACCAGATCAACCCAGAGTAAGACCGAAGATCAATAAATATAAAACAGTACAAGACGACACATCGAACCTTCAATATGAAATAAATCTCTTTAAAAAAAAACAAAAGGACCTGGGTGTTTTCAGGGCAGGTCGCTGGTTCTAACAGTCCAGTGTCATTCCAGTTTTCTAACGAGGATGTATGTTACACCTGGAAACCATTCAATCATCTAATACATCAGAAAATGAGATCAGTAAGTGGCTGGAGGCCTGGAGCCGGTCGCATCCACTGTTTGGTACATTTTATAAATCGTCATTTAAACTATGACAATAAATTTAGAGTGAAAACGTAAAGTAGAACATCGCTGGCATGTTTTATTTGACACTTGTTCAAAATGCAGTTTAATAATGATGTAAAGTTGGAAGACACAATATAACACAATTTTAAAAAATGACATTAATAACATTAGACACAACATTAGTTTATTCCCCTAACATCCCTCTAAACCCGATGAGATGAAATACTTTCTCCCTGTGCGTATAAATGAAGTAACAGCTACATTTACAAAGGACTGGCACTATTTCTTTTGTATAAATAAATCCATTTTGCCCAGCAGATATAAACAAAGCTTAGTATTATTATATTATTATATTCGATCAATATTTAAAATGAGTTATCATCATTGAGCCAAACGAACCATGAACATCCCACATCAGATCCAAAGTGGTTTCTTTCACCTCAACTACACAACTTAATGAAACTGCATCACACCGTATTTCTAATCATTAACAACACGCGACCTCTGCCACTGGTCGGTAAAAGCTCCAGTGCCTCGATATGAACCGACGAACTTGGCTGAGACTCAAAAAGGTCAAAAATATAAAGTCTAGAAAAGATTCTGCACTTTTCTCTTTGATAAATCTAAACCTGTTTTATCAAAATACGAGATAGAGCTCGTTCAAACATACTCTCGGTTTTCGAGGTCCTTTTTGATGGCTTTCTTAATGCGGTCGATTTCATCTTCATCTGAACTGTCATATTTATACTCTTTCGCCTTCTCGTCATTTTCCAGAGCAGCTTTTTCGTCCTCTTCGTTGGCCTCTGGCGTCGTGGACTGCAGCTCCTCTCGTATCGAGTTGAGCTCCACCAGACCGTCGTGCAGTTGCGTGGCCACATCCCTGATTTTGGCAGCGAACTCTGACTTGGCCCCTTTCTTGAGTTCTTTGGAGTCTTTGGCCACGAAGTAGATGTCCATACCTACGAACAGTCCAGTGAGAACGCCAGTGGCCATGCTGGCGATCTGCACCGCTCTGGCCGCCGTGCTGCCGGCCACGTTGGCGATCTGAACCACACGCATGATCTCATTGGCGTTGATCAGGATAGCTTTTCCTGCCATGGCGCCGTCCTCGTAGAAACTACTGCTGAGCACAGGGAAGTCGCGGTTGTACGCGTGTTTCTTCATCTTGATCAGGTCGAACTTGCGCAGGTTTTCGATTCCCTGCTTGATGAATTTCAGGCACTTGTTCAAGTCCAGCATCTTCTCCTGGTAGTCCTCCACGATCTTCTCCACCTTCTTGCGGTCCATCGAGTTGTTGACCTGGTTGGAGATGCCGGCGCCCGCTGACGTCAGACCGCCCGCCGTGGCCACGCCCAACCCCACTGCCGTCACAATCAGAGAGGTTCCCATGGTGATCGGGGCCAGAGCGAGGCCAGCGATGGTGGCGACGCCCCCGATGGCGCTGGTGGAGCCGCCGGTGATTTGGGCGATCTTTGTTTTCTTGTTGAATTTGTCCAAGCTGTCGGCGATGCCGTTGAGGACGATGACGTGCTCCCAGAGACTCTCAGCTCGCTCGGAGAACAGTTTGTTGAACACACGGATTCCTTTCTGTACCTTTTCAGCCGTTAAAGCAAACGCCCTGAAAAGAGAAAGTTGAAAGTAATCACAAAGAAGTCGCTGCATCTAAAAATGAGTTTTCTAACCAGGTGGATGGAAGTGGTTTGATTGGGGCCATGAGAGACAGTTTAGACGTGGAAATCTCAAAACTTTGGATAAACATGGTGAAGTGACCATTAAGAGGTCAAAGAAGAGATGCAGCAAAAGACACGTGTGAGCTTTAACATACTTGGCCTCTTCTTTTTCTGTCATGTCTTCAACTTCAGGCGTGTCCTCCCATTCTGAGGAAGTAAATATAAGACAATCGTTAGTTTTCCAATCACGTTGGACACATTACAAGGCAAATATCCAGAACATGACGCCCATGGACATCATATACTGAAGTATACTTTTCTACCAGATTACAGATTACACTTACGCTCCACCGTGTTCCACCACTCCATGAGATCCTCCACATCCTGAAAGATAACATCAGGGTTTGTGTGGGTTTGCAATTTTTATGTTTATTAACATGCATCAGTTAAAATCTTAATGTGGTGATGTTTATTTAGTTTTAGATATTAACCTGATTGGTTTCAGGCTCTGACGGGTCAACACGTAAATCCTCCAGCTGGTCGAACAAGGACCTGTTTCCACCTTCATTCTGAGACAACAGAAATCATACAGCTGAAAAACATGTCTAAATATCCAGATAACACAAATGTGAAACAATATACACACAGTCTCTAAAACCCTGTGTCAAGAGCACAGCTCTGGCTCTGCAGAGGAGCTGAACAACAGAAGACACGAGGCTGAAAAACATTAAGAATCATATAAGTTGTTTCTCTTTCTGTCCTGCGTGAGCTCAGATTCAGAGGAGGAAGTGACAGTGAAAGCGATTCTTAATACACTGACTTGTTTTTACTGTTTTTTTTTTTGCAGAAGTGTAGGGAACAAGAAATCCTTAATGGACGCGTTGAAAAGGGAAGCAGAGAAACAAGTCTGGCCGCATTGCAGCCTAATCTCGTCTCATCTTCCGAGGCAGCGCACAAACTGTGAGCGAAGGTGTGGGGGGTGGGTTACATGTCAGCTTGGGAAGAACAACAACTCAACAGGTCGGCTATAATCATCTCTGCTGGGAGCTGAGGCGATGCCCTGGGGACAAACTCTGTGAATAACTGCACGGCCGAGGTTGTTTTTAGAGAAGAGACGAAGAGTCAGGTGACTGAAACAGACCTTCTGTAATCCTGAACCACGAAGACTCCAACACGTCACACCGAAACAGTAATAATTAGCATGTAGAGAAATGCTCAGTGTGTGAGAGAGGTGAGTAAATAAATAATGGAGAGTAAGAAAGATCAAAATACACGTTTCTGGACTCAGAGAAACACAGAATGACGAGGGTTTTATTTTCTCTACCTCTTCAGCGTCTTGCCCAGGCCTCTGAATAACTTTGGCCTGAAACAGATAAAGACAAACACACAGTTAAAACACACAGTTAAACCAAAAGAATCCAGTTATAAAACTCTGGGTAAAATATCGATGACCCAGTAACAGCATGTGTTTCCACTTCGGGCTATGTTACTGTAACTGTAACCTTGACAACATGACAAGACGAGGGATCGGGGAGTAATCAGGAAGAGAGACAGATGCTTCCATTCAGGTCACAACGGCTCATTGATGATTTGATGACGATAAAGATTATGTTCATGGTCATGAAATCAAAACCTAATTGGACGTGAGACGTGTCCGACAGCGTTCTCCAGCTCCGTCATCACATTTCAAATGAGAATAATGAGGATTTTTCTTTTTTTAAGAATTAAAAAGTGCTGATGAGGTTGTTATATGTTCCCACTTCTCATCTGACCAGCGTTTGCAAATTAAAAGTGACATAAAAAACAGGTTTAGTTTAAACGATAAGATTTCATCCTTTAGATCTCTTCTGCCGCTCTGACAGTAAATTCCTCTCCAGTGATTTGACCTGGTTCTCTGTTGTTTGCTGTGTTACAAAAGACGTTGACAGTGTGAACACAAACAGGAACTGTCGTCAAGGGAGGAGACAAGTTAGGACAAGTCCCGTGTTTGAGATTTACCTTGACCCGTGGCATGAAGGGATTGTGACGCTTAGGTTTCTTGACTTTGGTCTAAAAGAAAAAAAAAAAGAAAAAGCAGCATTACTTCAGGTCAAATTATAAAATGTTCTTTTAGCTGAAATAAAATGATCCTAATGAATGTCATTGTCTGACCTCCTCTTTTTTCTCCTTGACCTCCTCGTCGTTCTTTTCCTCTTTGGATGAAGATTCATCTTCTTCTTTCAGTCCTTCGTCATCAGACGCAGCCTAAAACAAACCATAAACAATTAACCTAGAATAAATCTTTAAAATAAAGTTGACTTTTTAAGCTTTTGTTAAAAAAACTGTGAGAAGTTGACGAATCAAATATAGAACAAAACAGTGCCACGTACCTTTGATGCAGCACGAGACATAAACGGGTTGTGGTGCTTGTGCTTTTTCACCTTGGTCTGAAAAACCGTTAGAGGACATGAGGACAAACAACTACATTTCATTCATCATTACATTGGACTGGAGCAACTGTATCTAGGCTCGGATCCTTGATCTCACCGCTATCAGCTCTTATCACTAAAAGATTAATTAACAATCAAATGCAGTCAACAGTCCGACTTTTCTAAGTTCTCGTGGAGGCTCCTGTGTCTCCAGTCTATATGTAACACATATGGTTTGCATGAGAGAACTGATGATGAGGAAGCAGGAAGTAGAACGATTAAATCACGGCAGAACACGTGTGGTTAAATACTCCATGTTTGTTTTCACCTGTATGTAGCAGCGGATGAGGATTTTTCAACATCACAAATAAACAGGCAAACAAAACTTTACGAGGTTAAGACAAACGGTCCCACAGCGACGAGTGAAGAGATAAACTTACTGTTTTACTCTCCGGAGGATTCACCTCGTCGCCGTCTTTGGACTCAGCAGACTCGTCTGGTTTGAGACCTTCATCATCGGAGTGGCTCTGCAGCAAAGTAAGCAACTTATTTGATAAATGATTCATTTTCAGTGTATTGCACAAGCATGCGTTGAAATGTGTGAGTGCATCTTATCAATGCACATTGTGTGACGATAGTGAAGAGCAGCACCTGATGGTTGCTCCTGGGCTTTAGTCTCACTCTTCTTTTCATCTCCTGTAATCAAAGCAGAACAGTTCAGGTAAACACTACAGCATCGATTCACACGGACACACGTGAACTCCGACCACACACACAAACAGTCAACGATCCGTCTACGCTGAAGGTTTACTCCACCTCTTCTGATGGTCTGACAGGAACGACAGGAGTCTCCGCAGCCGGGTCTTTTTTCTGTCGGGAGATCATTTCCATTTTATCCTTCGGAGAACAAAACAATACTCAGTGTTAAAAAAACCAAAACTTTAACCACTTGTTATTGTTATTCAACCAATCTAATTCTCATTCTCACAAATATCTTTAAATGTACCAGACAACAAACATTTACAGGACTCCTGCACATTTTGTAAATGTGGGAAATGCAAACTGAACCTGATTATCCTCGGTCCCTCGTGGATTCACTTTATCGTGTGTGGATATCCTTTTCATTTCCTGCAACACAAAGTGCCAGAGACAGTCAGAGGAGAAGTCAGAGGAGACGCTTCACATGAGCCACGGGTCACCGAGCAGCAGTTACAGTATGTTCCCTCTGAATGCAAATCTCTGCAGTTGGTTTGGGTGGGACCGCTGGTGTTTCACTCTTTTCTGTTGTTTCTCGCTGGATCATGTTGCTTTTGACCTTGACAAGGAGACACACACACACACACACACACACAGTGTGTTGTGCAGGAGGAAGGGGGGGTGTGTGTGCTCCTGTACTTGTACCTTTGTGAGGACCATTTTAAGCAAAGACCGTACAAAGTGAGGACATTTTGACCAAACCTCACTTATATGATTTAGTTTGGATGGTTAGAGTCTGGGCAATGCGTTACGTCAATGAGTGTCCTCACTAAGATAGAAGCACGAACGAGTGTGTGTGTGTTTGTGGTCACGATGATTCATTGCTGATACAATATGTCGACTGACCGGTTTCGACTTCTCTTCCACTGGTTTCTCGTTCTCTTTGAGCGTCTCTGTGTCTTCAGTGTCTTTCTGCATGAGATAAAATATTAAATATGAAAGTATATCGACAAAAAGTTCTTGAATCACATCCATCTATAGTTATGTTCCTTAATTCTTGAGCACTATAAAAACATCACAATCTAAACCCCCCCCCCCCCTTACTTTGGCTGCAGATCGAAATGGATTCAGCTTTGTCATCGCCTCAGCAAATTTATTCTGAATGAGAGAAAACAAATCGTGATCAAATACATGAAAGGCAACAAAAACCTCAAGCACATGAACATTTAAAAACCTGACGGACCTGTTTGTGGCCGGGCTGGTTCTCGTCATTCTCTGAGGTCTCCTCATCATCAGTGTCAGAGTTCTTCTCCTGTGGACGGAGATGATCGTTGTTCTGATAAAACTATATTCAGCTTCATAACTTCCGTGTCACGAGATGAAACAGCATCTTACCCGTTTGTCGGCGTTGAACGTGTTCTTCATCATCGCAGTCAAACCGCTCTGAAACAGGACAAAGACACTTTTCTTCTCCACTTAAAGAAACAGTTTACAGCTCTGATCCTGATCTACAGCAGAATTTATACATTAAAAAAAAACTCTTGGAGCCGGTTAGTGTTCACAGCATCGAGTCTCAGCAAAGTCCGAGCTGTTGAAGCAGCAGAGAAGAGATTCAGTAACCAACCTGTTTCACTTTGGGTTTCTCTGTGGAGGAGCTACTCTCATTCGATTCTCCTGAGCGTTCAGTTTTTTCTTTGTCCTGATATGAAACAAAACGTTTTATCAGCGTTTCAACAATCGACAGCATGATCAACTTCCTGGAGGGATACTTAGCCTGAAGGGAGAAAACCGACCTGAGACGAGGAGGTGAAAGGATTCTTCAGGTTCTTGGCTCCACTCTGACGGAGAAGACAAAGCTCTTTAAGCCTCAAACCGACATCTTCATGAAAAACATGTTGTTAACAAACAAGCGAGCGCCTTCCCTCACCTTCGAAGACTTCTCTGACAGACTGTCACTGCTGGCAAAGAGTTCCACCTCCAGAGACAAATTATCCTGCAAACAGTGAAATACTATAACTTTCATAATGTGAAAACAAAAAAAGAAAAGAAATGGAAAATCATGTAATCAGTGGCTCAGTGTTGAGAACACAAAGTTAATTAGAACCTTAAAACGTTCCTCTTACCTGAGACTTGGCACCTTTCTTTTTGAACATGCTATTCAGAATTCCTCCTTTCTCCTGAGAAAACAAAATTCAACATGAAGTTATTTTCGGTTACGGTTGGAGTTGTTAGGATACAGCCTTTTAACAAACGTCACCTTCGTGCTGTTCTCAGAGAGATTGTCGTTGCTGCCTGAGAGCTCGCCGGGTTCTGACAAGTCGTCCTGAGGGTGACAAAGAAATGTCAACAAATGAATTTATCATCTCCAAATAATGTCACACGGGCAAATGTGAGACAAGCGAGACACACAACTCTCACCTGAGACTGAGTCCTCGCTCCGAAAGGCTTTGGAGATTTTTTAAATATTCCACTGAACATCCCTCCTGACTCCTGGAGAAATAAAAACGATATTTACACCACAGCTCAAGACAAGACAAGTTCACAGAGTTTACAGGCTTGAAGAAAACTCACCTTAGTGTTTCCAGTTGCAGACAGATTGTCGCTGCTGCCCGAGAGCTCGCCGGGAGCCGTCAAATCCTCCTGAAGGACAGAAACAAGCATCTACTATTATTATCATCTACTAGTAATGTACATTTTTTTAAAATAAGACGACGATAGACAGAAATCTCACCTGAGACTGAGTCCTCGATCCGAACGGCTTTGGAGATTTTTTAAATATTCCACTGAACATCCCTCCTGACTCCTGGAGAAATAAAAACGATATTTACACCACAGCTACAGACAAGACAAGTTCACAGAGTTTACAGGCTTGAAGAAACTTCACCTTAGTTGTAGACAGATTGTCGCTGCTGCCCGAGAGCTCGCCGGGAGCCGTCAAATCCTCCTGAAGGTCAGAAACAAGCGTCCATAGTATTATCATCAACTAGTAATGTAACACAGGTTCAAGCAAGACGAGTGAGATAAACAACTCTCACCTGAGACCGTGTCTTTGCCTTTGGGGGTTTTTTAAATATTCCACTGAACACTCCACTGAAATCCTGGAAAAAAATAGAAATAATATTAAGACTGCAGTTAAAGAACATTTTCCCACGGAGGAGCATTCCTCTGGTTTCCGTGCAGGTTTCAGTCTCTCTACCTGACACACAAACTTCCACAACCTGTTTGTGTCAAACTGTAGAAGACACGTTCATGGAGTTTACAGGCTTGAAGAAACCTTTACCTTAGTGTTTCCCGTTTCAGAGAGATTGTCGTTTTCGTTTGGTGCCGTCAAATCCTCCTGAAAGACCGAAACAAGCGTCTACACTTATTTTCACCTACTAACGATGAAACACAGGTTTAAGACGAGCGAGATCCTCAACTCTCACCTGAGACTGCGTCTTCTTTTTCTTAAACATCCCACTCAACATCCCACCCGACTCCTGAAGAAAGAAAAAAAAAAAAACAGTCACATAATAAATTACTTTTGCTGTATGAATTAAAATAAACTCCGTATTTTTCGACTGGCTGCAGCGGTCAGAGGGACAGGCAGGGATTTACACATCAGCCCGAGCTGGCGTTCAAAGTGCTGATGAAAGCAGGTTAACCTCGCTCACAAAAACAACAACACACGTCGCAAATGTTCCATTCAAACACATCAGAGCCCATAACGTGTGTCAGGGACGGATCACATGATGTTGTTCTGGAGAAAGAAGGACAAATACCACACCTACTGTAATATACTCAATTTGTTTTTATGTCTTTATTAGTTTATCTTTTTTCTAAAGGGTTTTATGATATATTTCTTCATATTTTGGTGTCTGTTGGAATGATTGTGAACTTTATTCTGGTGTGAAACTGTAACATGACACAGCTTTGTCAGTAAAGATGTTTAAAAAGCAGTGGACAGGTTATTTTTTTTTTGTTGTAATGAACATTCCTGAAAGACACTGATGAGACTCACCTTAGTCTTGGTGTTTTCAGACTGACTGCCCTCGCTGACTGAGAGTTCACTCTCCAAAAGATCCTGAAACACAAAATGAATCCGTCAGCCTCACGACTCAACAAGCGAGGGATTCTTCCGATAACCGTGTTTCCCAGGTGAGGGTCGTGTTTCACCTGTGACGGCCTCCGGACGTGTCCCGGTCTGTTCGGTAGTTTCAGGATCCCACCCAGGACACCTGGTTTGTCCTGGAGAATGAAACAGGGCAGAGAAAAGTTTAGTTTCCAAGAAAAACATTAATAAAGTGTAAAATATCACAGCGCAGAAACTGAACTCACCTTCGATGACTTGTTTTCCATTAAATTGTCATTACTGCCGGAGAGTTCAGGGTTTTGTAACGAGAGGGTGACCTGTCAACACGACACAACAAAAGTGTTGCTGGATCTTATCCAGTGTGAAAACTGCTGTAAACATTCAGGATCATTTAATTACAAAACTCAATAAAATAAATGATATAAGACAAGTTGTTTTTTCAACCTGTGGTTGAGCCTCTTTGGCAGATTTGCTCGTCTTCTTAAACATTCCTTTCAACCCGCCTCCTTTCTCCTGAACATGAATAATAAACTTTCACTGATTTAGAATGTGATGAATTTCCTCAGTTTACATGAGAAGGTTTGAATATAAACATGAAACACAAATGATTTCCCCACCTTGTGGTTGTCAGTCAGGCTGTCGCTGCTGTTTGAAAGTTCACTGCTGGCTGATAAATTGTCCTGTGATGTCAGAACAGAGTGTGTTTGAGTATATTGTCATAAAAACTGTCTAAAATTAGAATAATATGAGTCTTACACCTGGTACGGGAAATGAATGGAGAATAAAATATAAAACAGAGAGTCACAAAATGATAAAAAGTTATATTCTTATCAACTTTAGTTAATATGACAACTGACAAATCAAGGTTCATCAACCAAAGTGTGAAGTGGCTCATTTCTAGCTTTAAGTCTCATAAAGTAAATATTAAAAGTACAAACTCACCTGCTCCTGGACAACTGGAGCTGCAGATCTGGAGGATCTCTTGAACATCCCACCAAATAACGCTGCTTTTTCCTGAAGAGTGAAGGGGAGGAAGAAAAACAACATTATATTTAAACTAATATTCATCTAAAAATAGTGAAACTTCCAGTGACACAGACGGAGGTCAAATACTCAAAAACACGTTATTAAATTAATTATAGGGGTGAAAAAAACTACAAAGCCCATCACAACAAAACAGAAGTTAAAGTATTAATATACATGACATTAGAGTATTAAAGTATTAATATTCATGACATTACAGGATTAAAAACTACAAACCCCATCATAACGTAAACAGTAAAGTATTAATATTCATGACATTAGAGTATTAAAGTATTAATATTCATGACCATAAAGGATTAAAAACTACAAACCCCATCACAACACAAACAGTGAAGTATTAATATTCATGACATTAGAGTATTAAAGTATTAATATTCATGACCATAAAGGATTAAAACTACAAACCCCATCACAACAAAACAGAAGTTAAAGTATTAATATTCATGACATTAGAGTATTAAAGTATTAATATTCATGACCATAAAGGATTAAAACTACAAACCCCATCACAACAAAACAGAAGTTAAAGTATTAATATTCATGACATTAGAGTATTAAAGTATTAATATTCATGACCATAAAGGATTAAAACTACAAACCCCATCACAACAAAACAGAAAGTAAAGTATTAATATTCATGACATTAGAGTATTAAAGTATTAATATTCATGACATTATTGTATTAAAGTATTAATATTCATGACAGTACAGTATTAAAACTACAAACCCCCTCACAACACAAACAGTGAAGTATTAATATCCATGACATTAGAGTATTAAAGTATTAATATTCATGACAGTACAGTATTAAAACTACAAACCCCCTCACAACACAAACAGTGAAGTATTAATATCCATGGTATTACAGTATATAATACTAGTTACTCACAGCAACACCTCCTCCATCACACTCCAGATCCAGATCATCGTATCGATCCTGTCAGAGAAGAAGATGTTGTTAAAGCTCGAGCAGCTCGTGAGGAGAAGAAGAACTTCTGGAGTCACTCACCATAGTTTTCTCTTCTTCTTCTTCTTCTTCTCTCTTTGTTTAAAACCCGGTGAAGCGACGTCAGAGGACGAACGAGTCTTATTTCCTCCACATTGTTCCGGAGTCGACACCGAGACTCGCCGCCAGACTCTGGGATGAAGAGTTAGAGATCCTCCTCCTCCTCGGTGACGAAAATAAAGATGGCGGAGTTCAGAGACTTCCCCCTGATGTTGTGTGACCGAGTGTGTGTGTGTTTGTGTTACCTGAGAGTGTGTGTTAGAATGTGTGTGTGTGTTACCTGTGTGTGTGTGTTCATGAAGGACCCTCCTCTGTTCACACCTGTTTATTGTCCGCCATGACAGTGGGCGTGTCCGTCTCACCTGAGCTGCAGGTAGGAGGCTGATGCTGCGTTCAAGGATATCCAGGATATAACAGATGTGTCTGCCAGTGGTGGAATGAGTACATTAATTAAATCTTATTTTAATATAAGAAATGGAGGTGAACCTTTTGACGTAAGACTAAAAAAATATTAAATAAGTAAGAAATAGGTAAGATAATATTAAACAAGATAAAAAATAGGTAAGATGAGATAAAACTTTGTCGACCCCTTAGTGAATGAGGCCACAAGAGAATTAAAAGTTTGAAGACCTCTCGTTGATCCTGCTCACCTGACGGTTTTATGAGGAAAACCTAATTTTAATGGTTCTAATACTTTCATGGTTCAAATCACAGACATTCAATGCGAGAAGCTTCATGGTTTTCATTTTATGGTATGTTTTGTTTAAACAGTGTTTTACGACAGTTAATATTCTGACAGATAACAGAGCTGTAAACACATTAGATGATAAGCTGTTTACACATCAGCCTCACTGTTTGTTTGAGAGCAGTTTCCATCAAGCATCAATCTATCATTCATAGAGCATTTGACAATAATACCACAACTTTTTTAAACCCAGGATTATAAAATAAACACAGCTAATTACAGATAAATGCACATTTCCAAAATGTTTTTTTTTCTTTTTTAACCAAACCAGGTTTTCTGATTCAGTCATTTAAAAATATTAAAGCAAACAACACACAAGTGCGAATAATTTATTGTCAAAGAAAATTCATGGTCAGTAAACCCATTGCACAACCCAATGCACTTCGAATGGTTAATGTCCAACATTCTTATATTCATTCTATCACATTTTCCAAAATAAGCAATAATAAATTTAGCTCCCATACAATCACAAGATAATATATTTAAAGTTTGCCATATTTTATACTTGCATCTTATATTTGCAAGTTTTCTTCGGCTAAATTAAAGGCACATGTAAACATGATATAATTAGAGCTTTACAACTAAAACATAGATTTTTTTTTTCCCCCTCTGCAAAAGACAAATACTTAATTTCAGTACATTTCATTGCACGTTGCCATCGTCGAAACAAACAATCAAAAACAGCTGTGTATATGTATTCCTATAATATTTGGTTAGGGTCGGGATTAAGTGTGTTAAGTGTATTATTCCTTCCAGGAGAGAAAGTAGAGCTTTCCTTGTCCGTCAGCACAAACCAGTTCAGTGGGTTTTTCTGGATTCACCTCCAACACCAGGACAGGACCTCCACACACAAACATGCCCACCTGGAGGAGGAGAGCGAGAGAGAGGAGCACAAATAGCAGAGGAACAAATACATACAAAATGAAACACTGGAACACAGGTTAGGTTTTAGATTAACAGTAGACAAACTTATTTATTCATCCAGTGACTATTTACAGCAGCAGTGTGGTTTTGGTCTCTTTATTTGGGTCACTATCAAAACAAAAACTACAGAATATCACCAGACTTCTCCACAAAGACTGGATTGTACCTGTTTCTTAGTGGTTCTGTCCCACAGCTTCACCGTCTTGTCGTAGGAGGCAGAGATGATGGTGCTTTCAGTGAGTCTCAGCACACTGATCCTGTCATTGTGAGCCTGACGATAGAACATCATTAAAAAAAACAAAAGATAAAACAAAAACAAGTTTAAAGGGACGCACAATCATTTCTGATTTTGCATTTATTTCCTTGCTGAGTCAAAATCATATCGGAGCTGGTTATTTCAATGAATTGCTGAAATCGTTGGTTGATTTGTAGTTGAATCCAGCAGCTGAGTAAATGTACTTGTCATTTCCCACCACATGTGAAAACGAGCAGTATTCTCTTATGTTGTGTGTTCTGAGTCTCTTACAGGTTTTCTGCTGCTCCAGAATGAATCCTCTGAAGTCTGGTTGAACCACATGTTTCCCCTCGTGTCTCCACACACCATGAACTCTGAAAAATAATTCAACATATATATAAACACAGAATTACAATGCTGCCACGTACAGAGGTGGCAGTAGTTCTAGTTACTGTGGTTTTGCTTGAAGTAATTGTAGTAGAGTAGTAATTGTAAAAGCTGCAGTTTGAATTAGAGCTTCAATGATTTCTTGATCAATCTGCAGCAATTTCGACAAACAGATGATAATTTCAGTCATTTCTAAAGCAAAAATACAAAATATTACTTGTATAAAGTTGTAATAGTTTGTACCTCTGTCCATTGTTACAGCTGTTACTAGGCTTTCCCTCTTGTCCTTCCTCTTCTCTACCTCTTCCTCCTCCTCCTCCTCCTCCTCGTTCTTCAGGTTGATCGAGTTGAAAGCTGAGGTGAGTGCCATTTTGGGGTTCATGGTAAACTGAGGACAGAGAGAAAACCATCACGTTCATCCTTTTTTACTTAAAAACAAAGTTGGTGTGAGCTACACTTGGGTTTTGTTTTTAAATGGGGAGATTTTATTATAAAAATGTCTAATACACAAAAATACGGCCCTGAAAACCAGAGCAAACTTCTTCATATGGATACTATGATATGTTTGTATTAATCTTACATATCCTGCATTCTAATCAATGTAATATAATATTTAATATAATAAAATAAAGTTCTTAATCTTAATTGTTGCTCTTTTGATGTGTTCTAATGCCCTTTTCACCACTAAAATAAATTAAAACACCGTGAAATACAAGTATTCTTCATGTAAAACAATGATATTGAGGATATGAGACGCAGGTTCGGTAAAACTCACGACAAAGCCAATGCAAACTTTTCGGTCCCCTTCGCCCACCAGCCACATGCTCTTCTCGTCATTACGGATCAAATCCAGAACCCGGGCATTGTAGTACCAGCTGCGAAAAGACAAACACAAAGGAGCTTTGAATTTTATTTTGCCATTTTAAAGCCTTGGAGGTTAAAATTAAAGCTCACGGTGTATAAGAAAGAAATAGAAGCTGTATAAATGACTCCTAACTATAAAATAAATCATAAATCTGTGCAATAAATGAACAATATTTGTCAGGTTCAGCTAATTTACAATTAGGGCGGACGTAATCAGTAAATTTTCGCAAAAGAGACATATCAGCAGCCACGATGGATTAAAAATACTGAGGCCAACAAAAACCTCATCACATTAATATTCTGTGAAATTAAATCTTTACTCGCAAATTCAAAACCAAATCATCATCAGCTTTAATCAACTCATTAGAAGCCTGGATAAAGATTTTGGTCCGTGCGGTACAACAAACCTGTATATTTCGTTACTATCGTCAGTGATGTAAAATATTGTCCCGATGCTGGACACCCCGATCAGGGACGAGCAGAAGAAGAGCTTGACCAGAGGATATTTCACTTTGTACGTGGTCACCTTCACCAGACTGAGGGCGACAGAAACACAGAATAAAGTTAGTTAGGTTCATCAGAAACTAGTCTGACTGTTTTGTTGTTGTTTACCTTCCACTGTCGTGCTGTTGATTCCACACCAGCTTCCACACATCCACAAAACATTTCGAGTAGCTGACGCCAAACTGACCGTGAGGCATGGAGCAGATTGCCGTGATGGTGCTGTCTGAAGCCTGACACAAACAGACACACTGCGTCATTACACAAACACAAATGTATACATTAGGTATAAATTCCTTTTTCTTGGGCTTTTCCTCACCTGCTTGCGGCAGACCACAGCGTTGTGCTGCCAAATCTCCAGCAAACCGGATGTATAACCAGCAAGACAAAAATCAGCGTTCTGAGAGAAGCACAGAGCTGTGACGTGGTCCGAGTGTCTGAGAGGACTCTCTGAGCAGGAAACAAAGAACAGAAAGGTGATGACTCCAAAAACAAAAGAGCAGCAAATAAACCGCTTGTAATAATTTTCTCTTGATACATGCGACCAGGTGCTCCTTCGCTGACTCGCAAACAAATCTACTCCAACTAACAACAGCACAACAGTCTCCATCTTGATCTCAGACTGTAATGTCTTTCTTAATTAGTCAGAGGCAGAATGCACAGTATTACTTGTTGCCCATGTCCAGCTCCGCAATGAGCAGTCTTCAGAAACAGTGAGGAATTCTGGGACTCCTTGCTTGCGGACGACTCCATGAATGGCACCGCTGTGACCCAGGAAGCTGTTGAAGTGTTGCATCTGTACATAGATGAGGAGGAAGAGGAGAGGAAGAGGAAAGAAGGGGAGGAAAGGAAAAACTAAGATGAGATGAGATGAAATTGCCACATAAAATTGCAGATTAATCGTAAACAATAATGGGAGATATGAGCTGATAAAAGATGAGGAAAAGACATGAATGGTACAAACCCGACATGAAATAAAATGACAGAAATATGTTAATAACTTCAGAGCCTTTTATTTTGACCAGCAGACCTGTAGTGGTTTCCAGAGCTGCACTGTTCCGTCATCAGATGCAGTGAAAACAGTCATTTCTTCTGGGTTGACCTCTTTGTTCTTGTCTTAAAACAAAGGCGAGAATTTAGAACAACAGTCAGTTTCAATATAAAACTGAGGCTTGGTGAGTCATTACATTACTCAGATCAACTTACCTGTGTCTGTGAGGAGAGAGCAGTGGTGTATTCGCTGTTTGTGAGCAGAGATGTGGCAGATTTCTATGTTGGTTTCCCAGCTCCACACATGTAGAGCTCCCTCTGCACAGCCGGCGATCACATACTGGCCCTGCACACAGAAATAACACAGAGGTTCATGAGGCTGAATGCTTTATTTGTCATGAGAAAGCCAATAAGAGATTATCAACTATTATTATTAACTCTTTTACTGCACCCAGACACCAGTTTACAGTAAAAGAAGTTGTGTAAGAGAAGATGTGCCTATTTTCTGAGTTAGTTGTATGATTTTCTCACCAGACAGCAGACAGAGGTCAGAGCACTACTCCAGGAGATTTCTCTGAGGCGTTTGCCCGTCTGAAGATCCCACAAACAAAGTCTGCCATCGTTTGACGAGCTGATCTGGAAGAGACCGACGAGGACAAGTTTCAGACGTCACTCGAATAAGGTGGAGGACATGCAGCGCAGGTTTGTTCAGTTACATGTCTTCATGATACGTGCACTCACCACACAGTCTGGAGTCCAAACACAGCCTGTGATCCAGTCTCTGTGAGCGTGAGGGAGAGACTTAGACAGAACAGGAGGTGCTGAGTTCATGTCCCACACCATCAGAGCCTGACAAAGACACAGTAAATATGGGTTCATATCCACCATGATTGTCTCATTACAGTATCTTCTCCTCTGATTTTTATATTTCAAGTTAAAGTTAAGTGATTATTGGTTTGACAAAAAAATAATTGTTGGACGATGTGTTTATCCTTCATTTGAAACACATTGAAATCAAGACTGAACCAGAGGGAGCACAAAGGATCTGTATCATATAAGCAGCATTACATCCCTGCACATAAAATGTATTTTTGGTCATTTTTACCGCATCTTTTCCACCGGAGAGTAACTGTCCACCATCAGGGCTGAAGGCCAGACAGGTGACTCCTCCGCTGTGGCCCCTCAGCAGCACATGAGGCTCAACATGGGAGTCAACAGCCAAATCGCTCAACAGCCACAAAGCAATGGTGAAGTTATCTGATAAAAGTGAAACGGAGAAGAGCAAACAACGAAACATATGATGGTTGAAAACACCGTCTACCTGAGACGTAACATACACATTGATGTAAATCTTCTTTATGGTCATGATCCTTACCTGAAGCTGTAGCCAGGTAAGTAGAGTTTTGAGCCAGTGCCTGGATGTCACCTGGTTGCCCACCAAACATTCCCACCATTTTCAGGCCCCCCATCGTTCCCTCCTCTCCCTCTTCTCTCCTCCAGACTCTCAGACGTTTGTCGCTCCCTCCGGACACCAGCAGCTCGGGTTCGGTCTGCTCTGCGTCCACAGCGACCCACAGCAGGCACAGGATGGACACATCAAGGTCCCTGGACGACCAAATCATCTTATCTAAGGTGAAAATAAAATCATTTGAAGCTTGTGTATCTGTATAACTTTATAGACCATACCTCTATTTATTAACTGTATGTATGGGGTTGAAAAAACATGACACACACCTGAGTCGAGATTGAAGAGTTTGATGCCTTCACCGTGGTAACCCACAGCAGCGTAGTCTCCATTCACAGCCACACACAGCGCAGCGAAAACTGAGTTTACGGTCTTGAGTTTCTTCTGAGGAGGCTCCAGGTCAAACTGTTTAATAATTTGAGGGATATGAAGAGAAATTTGACTATTTAGTATAAAAATAAACCGTTTCAGGTTGCAGACATTAGGTTTTCACCAAATTATGTCTATTTTATATTCAGCTGTTTGTTTACACACACTCCATGACATGATACATTAAACTGAGATTAACTGTGTGACATCCATGTGGGAAAGTAACGGTTTATTATAAAAGAGAAATAAGAGCTTACATTATCACTTTTGAGTGCAGTGACAGAACGTCCGAGTCCTCCTGACCAGAGCTGCAGCTGGAAACGAACCACAAAACTTTAAAGATCTACCTGAAGTCGGGATATTAATCCCATGAAACCAGAAACTACATGATCACAAAAAGACACAGACAGTGATCAATATATCTACAGGGAAAGGAAAGAGAGAAAAAATGTATTTCAAAATGAGTGACGCTAAGACGTCTGTAGGGCATTGGCAGAGGTATGCATTCTACTGGGAGACATTCAAGTTTCTGAATGTGCTTTAGGACAACAAACACGTGTTAAAGGTTTGTAATTGTGAAGCAGTATGACCATACAGTCCTTATTAGCAGTGAAGTAACTATACCATAATGATCCAGGTTCAGAGTGTGGAGGCAGCGATGTCTCACCATGTGATCTGAGCCACCACTGAGCAGCATTGCTCCTTCATCCAGGAAGGTGAGGACCTCTGTGGCTCCACGGTGAGCCTGGAAACATCCCACACAAGTGGAGGTGGGCACTGACCACACCCTGACCTCTCCGGATATCGAACCAGAGCAGAGCATTGAGGAGGAGGAGGAGAAGGAGACACTGCGTACTGAACGCTGGTGACCACACAGAGACTAGGGACACAAATGGACAGAGAGAGATAGAAATAGCAATTAAAAAAGTCCCCATAAATCTATATGGGGTTATAATTTAGTTTTTTTGGGAGAGTGAGCATCAAGATTACTTTAGCTCCTTCAACAAGTAACATGTGTTTCTGATGTTTCTCCTGACTGTGACTCACAGTTTGAGTTTTATTCTGAAGCCAGTTCCACACGATCACTTTTCCATTCCAGCAACCAGCAGCCAGCAGGCGACCCTCGGGGTCAAAGGTCACACAGTTCATGGGGCTGGGGCTGGGCAGCGCTGCTACCTCATGACATTTAGTGGAGGACCACACCTGATGAGCAGAAAACAACACTGACATGTAAAAATCAAGAAACAGCTGACGGTATAATTTAATAGCAGTAAATTCTACTGCGCATAATTGGATGGCCATTAGCTTCACACAAGTAAACAAAAAAAAACACAACAAAAAAATAAAATGTGATTTGTTTGGGACCAACTTTCAGCATGAAGTCCAGAGACACAGTTGCAAGGTGCCTATGGTCTGCAGAGATATTACTCGCTGTTATCACATTCGTGTGGCCTTTAATAAGAGCAGTCCTGCAAGAAAAGGAAACACAAATCAGTTTATTAAGGTTTCTGGAGAAAAGTCGGAGATCTGTACAGTCGGACATATGTTCCGAATTCTCCCTCCTCTCACCTGCAGCCGTTCTTGATTTCCCAGATCTCTATTCGTCCGTCAAAGGAGGTTGTAGCAAGATGTCCGTCCTTCAGAAAGACGCAGCTCGAGATGCCGTCACAGCTGCTCACCAGTGACTTCACTTTCTGTTCACAGTCAGGAGAAGGAGTTAACCGTGATTTATCTCAGATGTAAAAACCTGACACATTGAATCCTAGAGAAATGGATTGTAGAGCTTGTAAACTAAATGTCAGAGTTAAACGAGCCACTAGCCAAGACTGACGAGATGAAGAACATGCAGGAGGGAGGCAAACAAAAATAGGAAAATTGTGTTCATACCTGTCCCGTCTGTGCGTTGATGAAATGCAGCGTTCCCTGTCCAGTACCGATCACCATCAGCTCTCCATCCGGACTCACATCCAAACAGGTCGGATCAGAGGAGAAGGTCGACACCAGCTCACTGCGGTGAATCACACAAGATCACCGGCAGGTTTCTATATAAGTTTATCACAATCTAATCAAACACGATGTACACACCTCTAGTTCAATATGTTGCAGACAATGCGTTTACCTGGTGTCTTGAACAATCTGATCTTTGTTGTTCTGACACTCAACTACCCTGATCCCTCCTTTTCCCACCATGCCTCGTGCCCAGATGTGAGCAGAGGTCTCTGGAGGCTCGTTGAAGGCTTGCTGGATGAAAAGAGGTGGGCAGGACGAGAGAAGGGAGGCGTGACGCCGCAGGAAACTCCAGCAGTCCTCTAAATGGTCCTGGACGCCGACTGCAAGGTTAAAGAGAAACTTGTATGAGGACTAAAAAACATCTGGCAGGAATGTTTCTGAGTGATGTCCATTTGCAGGCACTTACAGGAGCGAGCAGACTTCTGCTCCTTATCTGCAGGAAAAGTAAAAATTCACAGGATACTATCATTAGGACTTTTTGTTAAATTATCATTTAACCTGCCCTGCCAACAATTTTAAATTCAGGAAGTCGTAAACAAGACAACGTGCGAAGGATTAAAAGGAAAGTTACACATTTATCATGTAGGATCTTCATGCATACTCACCGTATGAGCTGTAGGTTTCCAGGAGGCGGTGCAGGAGGCCGTGGCGCACGCAAGCATACAGGAAGTAGTAGCTGGAGAGCAGGGAACGGAGCGCCTCCGGTTGGCCACTTTGAATCTGACCAGACACATAGAAGAACCAAGGGGTGAAGTAAAAATATTGAGGCAACTGTACTTATTGTGTAAAATGTCTCAATTCACAATAACAACTTGACTCTGATTTCTCTACAAGCTCTCACAGAACTTAAAATATATCAAATAAACATAGAACAGAAAAAAGATGAATGGATTTAAACTCCGGAGACAAAATCCAGTTGTTGTTTTTTAAAGGTTTCAATAGAAACTACATAGGGAGGGTATTCATGGGCTGTTCATGTTGAGCAGTATCTATATGACGACTGGTGACATGAGGTGACTCACCAGGTTGGAAGGCAGGTGCATGAGGGAGTTGGCCTCACAGTGGAGGAAGGTGTTTGCTCCCTGCGGGTCAGCCAGCGTCCAAAGATGAGCTGTGAACAGGAAACAGAGAAAAAAATCAAAACAGGCCACAGTGACTTTATACTTTGTGCATTACAAACAAGCGACGTGTGCTTTACTCTACCTGCCAGCACGAGGTGAGCTCTGGTCCTGTCGCTTTCTGCTGGGAGGAAAAAGTCCTCAAAACTCTGCCGCACCTCCGGGTTCGTTAGAGACAGCAAGTCGTCGGTGTTGTGCCAATGAGACGAACCAATCAAACTGCAGGAAGCCAATCAAATAGATTAATCTCCATGTGGGTTGTTGACTGAAATTTTACTCTGACTACTGAAGGGAAATAGACCCAAATGTGCATCATGCCTCTAACATGCCTCTGTAATCTAAAGCACATCACATCACTATAAAACCCCATACCTTCGTAAACTCTGCACTAAACGGGTGAAGGTTGCCATGGGAACGCGTCCTTTGGGCGTCCTGAACAGTTGAAGCATGTCCTGCCATGACACCTGTCTGTCCTGCGAGGACAGGTGATTGCATGTGTTCAGTACAGAGTACAAGTCTCTCTCCCTCAGGCCTGTGGATCAAGACGAGTCACATGTTAAGTCAAAAATTATGAGGACAAAATAGAGGAGAAAAAAAAGATATCCATCTTACCGGTCGGGCTGACGGTGAGGACAGCCAGGGTCCAACGCAGTCCCAGCATGCCTCTGTGCTGTGAGCAGAGTCTGTCCAGGTTGTGCTGCACCAACTGACTCAGAGACTCTGGCATGTCCTGCAGGGTCTCTTTCAACTGAGACAAAAACCACATCATCATCATCATCCACACCTTTGGCATGAAGCTAAATAATTAGCAGGGTGTGTATGTGTGATATACATATATAGCTAATCAGGCTGCAGCTAATTGTTTTTATTGTCAGCGGATAATATTCTTGTTAAAAGGAGCCGGTTGTATATCTATTAAATAGACTAATTGAAGAAACCAACGTATTCAGTCAGACCTGATCGAAGGAGGCAAAGTTCCTCAGGTCTTCACAGGCCAGGTGCAGGAACAGAGGACTCATCGCTCCTTTCTTCATTATCAAGTTCTGGAGCTGGACAGACAGACATACAGACAGACAGACAGACAGACAGCGCTTTTTAGGAGAAAATACAAATAATCAAACTGATTAAACAAAAGTACAGGAAAATTACAACAATAAAAAGAACCTGGTTGTTGAATGCAGAGTCACTGAGCTTCTTCCCAAAAGCTTCCAGTCCTTTCTGAATGATTTCCCTCCTGTCCGGCATGGTGAGCTGTCCCAGGGTGAACAGGACAGTGCTTCTCTTCTTGACCAGCGTTTGTAAAAGATCCGCTTTAGGTGTGATGCTTATGATCAAACACACGCCCTGACACGAGAGAGAGAATACGTGTTAGACTACAGCAGAGAAATGATGTAAACATAAACACATACATGTATATCTCACGTGTGGGTTTGTCTTTTTTGACTGACCTGTGGAAGCTGCTGTGGTATCCAGTCAGAGTTGAGCTGACCTCCGCCGTCTTTGACGCCATCCATCCCATCAACCATCAGCACCAGAGGTTTGTTCCGCTTCACGTCGCTCAACGCGGAGTGAAACTCTGACAGCAAGTCTCTGATGAAAGGGATTAATATAGAATCAAACACATGTGAAAGACATTTCTAATGCATTAGAACCACGATGTAGTTTATTAACTAAGTGGAAGACAAGTAAAAATCACTTGTATGAGTGAGGAAGAGGTGATTTCTTCTCAGTGTTCTTCATTCTTCTAAACCACTGAACGAGGCAGCGGAGGAGGTTCTCGACAGAGCGTGCTGATTGGCTGGCATCTGTGGAGTAGGAGATGACGTCACAGACCAGGTTGGACTTGGACTTGTCTCTGGTCCTGAGGGCGTCAGCGAGAGCAGCCTGTGTGAAACAGAGAAACACGGGCAGTTATAGATAGAATCTGTGCAGAGATCAAGTAAACAGATTTTCCCTGGATCCTCTACATGATGTCAACACGTGAACGTCTTTAAGAAGTTTACCATGAAAACAGTTTTGCCCTCTCCGGGTCCTCCGTCCACCACCATCATCCCCCCTTTGGTCTGGACCTGCTCCACCACCTCCACAGCTCGTGACAGCAGCTTCGTTCTGCCAAAGAACTGCCTCTGCAGCGCCCCCTGGTGCACCTCCTGCTCGGTCACATCTGATGCACCCTCGGCCTCCTCAACCTCCTGAAAGTAATAGTGATTATTATCTGACCAAATGTGTGTATTAACAAATTACTCTGAATAAATCATTTAATATAAAATATCCATACACCAGCGAAAGGTGTTCTGTAATTTCATTGTTTTCATAAGGAAACGTTTGATTAATTAAGGGTGCGGTGATGAAATAGACATATTTTAGAGGAACTAACTTCCACAAACTGCTTCACCACAGCCGTCCAGAGGTCGTCGAGCACAGCTTTGCCAAAGTCCTCCAGGTTTTTCAGATACGGCTTCCCTTCCACAACACCCCCCCACTCACACGGGTAACTGAGAGACAAAGACAAGACAAGTCTTTTAACTCTAAATTAGGCTTTAAATAATGGAGATAAAAGCTTCAACATACACTTTCCAGATTTTTAAATACCTCATTATTAACAATGACAAAGCAGCACTGCACTTTTACTCTGCCCTGGAAAACCTGAATAAAAATAATGGAAAAATGAAAAAAGACGACTCACTTCTCAGTGACCTTGATGTCACTGTCTCGGATGCTGCTTTTCAAAGAGGCCATTTTAGACTCAGCTTCTTTTGATTCAGGAGCAAAGTCTGATCTCCAGGCCACCGGAACTGATCTGAGAAACAAAAAAAGATGATAAATGAAACTATAAATAGATTTCAAGCACAATGTGATTTAAAGACGTCACAAAGTTACAGCAAAAAGAAAAATTTATTTCAACTGTAAAAGGAAGAATTAAAAGAAGTGGTGTTTGTGTGTGAACATGTTAAATTTGCTGACTTCATACTTGGTAATGTTCGGATCTCTGAAGTAGCAGAACATTCTCTGGTTCACTGAATCAGGGAAAAGAGCCTGAAACTGACGTATCTCCATCTCTGTGATGGACAGACCCGGCGGGGCCGACGCCAGCTGCACACAGACGAAAAAACTCTTATTTGTTTTCAATATTTCAAATTCCCACGTTCAAAAATTGCACAACCTTCACAAAAATCTGTCTTTAAACTTAAGAGAAATAATATGACATGTATCGTGATAATTATCGATATTTTCTTTTTCTCGATATAATATTTGCCCATATCGTCTAGGCCTAATTCGAATGTAATTTGATCTCATCACATCAGGTCTTACCCAGCTGTACTGTGGCAGGCCAGGGAGGACGGGTTTGGGGGGCACCAGGCCGTACCTCTCCCCCAGGACTCCCACCATCATCTGGCTGCGACACACCTCTGACAGGCACAGCTCGGTGGCTCGGCACGACTCCTCCTCTGTGACGCCCCAGCGCAGCTCCACCTCCTGCAGGTAGAGGCAGTGAACCGCAGCACGACGCCGGAGCTCCGGGAAGACGCTCCGCACCAAGATGTCGCGCTCGGCGTGCATGTCTCTGAAGGTGGAGGAGATGAACACGCGCACGCCTCGCCACCTGACGACAGAGGAAGGAGCTGGTGTTAAGGAAGTAAGGAAAAGGTGCGTTTGTTTCACGTTAGATTTCTTTTATATTTAAAAAAAAAAAAAAGAAAGTCCTGGAGAAGATTGTTTTTTTAATTTGATTGTTATGGATATTTAATGCTGTAGTATACTACAGTTCTAAGGACAAGTTTTACTTTTTACCTTAACTTGGGGCTGGCTGGAATTGAGACAACACTGTTTGTGGTCTGAGGGTCTTTAGCTCCCTCTGGTGGTGGGACGTTGTACAGTTTGTCCAAATGCTCCACATGGTCCATCAGCCTGGAAGATCCTCGTTCTGCCACAAACCTGGAAACACGATGACAGAAAGAGTTCATGAAATGAGCTTATTTACTCTCTTTAGAGTTGTATGCTGTTCACAATCTCTTACTTTGTTAAATTTGTGATTTTGCACAACATTATGACTAAATTTACATTTTCTTGGTCGAAGGTTTTAGGTGAGCATGAGCGCGGGAAACCGTTAGACTGGCACTGGACTGGTGACGGAGGAAAACTACCGCAGGGCAGAGATTCCAGTTTGTGTCTAAATGAATGCTCGAAAAAGACTTTGGGATGTAAATAAGATATTTTACCTCAGCATTTGCTCACTGAAGCCCGACAAAATCACATGGTTTCTGTCGGTGGGGGGTTTTGTGTACCTGTAACAAATCAACACAACAGCAGATTAGAAACAGGAAACAAAAACCTTCCTCTACTGTACAATTGTGCGTTACGAAAACAAACCTGTATGCTAATAAATACAAAGGATCACCAACCTTTGTTGGCGTCCTAATACTGTGAGATGACGGCACGTATACCAGAAAAATTACCCCTCTAAGTTGATTTGCACCATGAGGGCTTTGTTGTTTACGTCCTTCCTGTAGTTATTGATGGTGTATTCAAGAGGGGGATTGGAGTAGTCAAGCAGTACGATGATGTTGTCAATTTTAAGATTTAAAAAAAAAAAAAGCATATGAGCACTCTGATCTCAAAGATGCTGAATAAGTCTCTAAAGGAAAATATTGATTATAAATAAAATAAAATAACCCTGAAACCATAAAAGGTAAGAACAAATGATACTCTATCAAAATAAAATACATTCGTACATATAAACTGACCTTGTTTGTCTTGTTAAGTACTTTGGAGAGGTAGTTATTGTCCCTTTCATTGTATGATATCATCTTACTTGACTGAAGAAGAGAAGCATTCATTAATACAGACAACAGCATGAGTGAGCAGGAATCGTATTCAATGCATTTCAGTCTTAAGACTTTTCAAACTTTCTAAGGCTGTGAATAAAGAAAATCCCGACCTTTACTTGCTTCATGACACTTCTGACATTTTCCAAAAGGACGTCAGACGTCAGTTTTGCTTCTTCACCGTGGGAATCAACTAAGTGAAGCTGGCCGTCCTCTGCGCTGCTGCAGATCATCAGTGAGAGCAACGTCGCCACCTCCATCAGCTTTAAAACCCGGGAGAGGTCAAACATTTCATTCCCTACTTCCTTTGTGTTATGACTTCCTTTGTGTAATTGCTTATCTGAAATAAAATATTACATACAGAAGGACTGAGCTTGTCATCATTCTCCTCCTTCTTCTTCTTCCTCCTCCTCGAGCTTGAGGCGTCTTCTTCCTCCTCATCGCTTTCTTGCTCGGATTCTGGTGGGAGACAGAAGTCCTGTTTCTGTTCCGTGGTCCGACTAGTTGAGATGTCTGTGACGAGGAAAACAGCGGTCCGTCCTGGAAGTGGTGGAACATTGTAACGGCAGGAGATCTGAACCGCCGTCTCCAGAGCTTTGCGGTAACGCTGCAGCAGAGCAACGGTGAACAGCCTCTGACTGGATGCACAGACAAAGAAGAAGCTGCATTATATCACTGAGTACACGTCCTTTTAATTCATGCAGTTGTCCTTTTGTGCATTTTCTAACAACGTCGGACTGTTTTAACTGCTGCTACGAGGCTCAATCACATAATACTGAAGAAATCTGTGTCAAAAATTTAAGAAATCAACAAAAAACAAGAGTGAGTATCGAGTTAATTATTGACTGTAGTGGTATAGATAATGGATGGATGGATATTTTCATACTTGGCCTTGAGAAGCTGGGCTTTCTTCAGTTTGTACTTTCGACAGATAAACGGCACGCCGAGCGTCATCTTCACCCTTTTCTTGTCGGTCGTCTCCCAGTCCAAACGCTTGGTACGCTTGCACTTGGGAAACTTCTTCAGGATTGCCTTCAGGATCTCCTGTGCCGAGGGAACCGCTTGCTCGGATGTGGAAGCTAAAGAACAAAGAGGTAAAGAGGAGTTAGAGTAAACAGTATGTCCTTGAAGTACATGTACACGTCTACATGAGTAAAGGAACTGAGTATTTCATCAACCTCTGCCTTTATAACTATTTTAAAAAATAGCAACCCAGCTGAGTAGCTTGTATTTTTTTTTAATATAACTATCAGACAAGAGTTTTAGAGCCACTTGATGATGTATCTCACCCAAAGTGTGAAGCTCCATGATGACTTTGTAGGCAGCGAGGAATCTGAAAGGAAACTGTCGGCTCTGAATGACGGCTTTCTGCAAGTACATGAAAAACACACAATTACAGAGAACTTAATGAACTCTCAGCTGGTCAGAGTTGTAGTATTATTTTTTTACGTAAAGGTTTACCGCATGTTTCACTACAGAGCGTCTGTCTCACCTTGTTGGTCAGTTTGCTGAGGATCTTCTTGTGATGAGCTTCGCTGATGCCCTGAGTGATCATGTTCCTCAGGTTCCTCAACATGGCCATGAACGGAAGAGACTTGTTATCTGTGCAGGAAAAGACGTCATGCATCATCATGCTGGGTGTGTGATTTCCAAATGCATCTTTGGAAAAGTATTCACTGGCTCTGGGGAACTTGTAGCGATAAGATAACTGAACTGGCCAGAAAGCTTGTGTGATGCCAAGCTGGAAGTAAATATTTTCCGAACCTATGAGTTTCTCCCAGGTGGCGGCCTTGTTGCCCTCTGCACCGAGCAGTCGTTCCCAAGTCTCCGGCTCTTTGAGCTTCATTCGCTTCCCGGCTTGCTCCCTCTCCCACACACCCTTCATTCCACTGTGGGTGAAGGCCTTCAGGTCAGCAGGATACCTGCCACACACACAAGAGCGTCACATTTCGAAATGGCAGGAGATGACCCAGGTTTCTCACCTCTCGGGTGTCATGTACATAGCTCCTGCTCTGAGATCCAAACTAGACCTTTTTCTCCTGCATCTCAGTTTTCCACTTTTCTACTGTGTAAATAACGAATGACAAAAATGCTGAATGACACCATTGTCTTAGTTTCCGTAAAGATGGAGATACAAGAGCTAAAACAATTATATCTGTTTATTTATAGATCATAGATGGGAGGTTAAATTAAAATGTGTTGAAAATGTTAAAATAGACAAAGCTTCTTCCTTTTATTTTCAGACAACTTTATTGATTGAAGGCTACCAGGATGTGAAGAGTGTGTGTGTGTGTGTGTGTGTGTGTGNGGAGAGGAGAGGAGGAGAGGAAACAAACTAACAAAAGAAGAGAGGAAGAAAGGAGAGGAACCATGAAGTGTGTGTGTGTGTGTGTGTGTGTGTGTGTGTGTGTGTGTGTGTGTGTGTGTGTGTGTGTGTGTGTGTGTGTGTGTGTGTGTCTCACTTTTTTCCCAGAATGGCCATGACGTGTTTGGCCGGTTCTTTGATGTGAAGCCTCTTTATCATCTTCTTCACAGTGAACTCACTCTGCTTTTTATCCACCACCTTTTTCTCCATCATCAGCTGTAAACACAAACACAAACCAGTTCAAACACATCACAGCCCCTGCAGCAATAAACTTTCCCCGATGGAAACGCATGTTGACTCACAAACTTCTTCAGGATAGATTGGTCTGTTCTGAGCGTGTCTGCCCACCGTTTCAGCTGCGCCTCAGTCGGTTTCTGGTGAATCAACAGAACAAAACGGAGGGATGAAGAGATTATCTTTGAATTATTTTAGAGAAAAGACAGAACTGACGTATTATATACAAAGAAACAGCCTCCACCACCATGATGAAGACAGAGGAAAACATTTTGTGAACAAAGCCTGGTGATATATGTAGATTAAAGTGAGAGCAGAGTGAATGTTCCGATACCTTTACTTTGCGATTTTTGGGGCTGCGTTTACAGCGGTGTTTGCGTGTGTTATATTTCGCCAGCTGATACTCGCTGAACTGCTTGAACTTGTCAGCCATGGCTTTCTTCAGACACATCGGCAGGGAGTGGCTGAAGCACTGGAAACACAGTCGTAGAGTTTAGACAGAACTGTTGCAACAGGATTCCACCGCCCTGAGGACGCTCACTAATGCTTACTGTGCTATAGATCCTGACGACTTCCAGCCAATCAGAGGGCAGCTGCACAGCGGCACAGAAGTATCTGCGGACATGAGGCTTGGTGGAGGGCTGATTGGCAGCCAGAGCCAATATGAAGTTTGTTGTGATGCGAATGTTCAGCTCCTGTCGAGCATAAACTGCCACCTGGAAGAGAAAAAGGAGAACAGTCATATTTGAATACAACAATATAAAATATTCATAATTGTAATGTTAACTGGTAAACCAATGGTACAATATGTTTTTGACAACATGTGATGAGAGGTTTTTTTTTTTTGATTGGTTGCAGCAGCGTGTAAACATCACCAGTTTAGTTAAAGTTCAGGAGCTACAGTGCACAATCAAAAAAATGCTTTCATATACAGACTCAAACAAACAGACATGTAAAGTGTACACACCTTCAGAAGAAACTCAGGGTCGTGGACAGAAATGTCCTTTGCCAGGCTTGTGATTTTGGTCCAAACACTGTCCTCTGAGTCCCAGTTGTCCTGACCCGGGGGTGTGCTCTTACTGACCAGGGAGCAACACACTGCATTCAGCAGGAGATACTGAGCAACAGACAGAACAACACAGAAGCGTGATTATATAATAAAAACAAGCACATTTTAATATGGCTTGGTGTCACTGGTGCAGACAACTGCTGAAGAAAAGGAGAGTATTTCTATGTCAGACTGTTACAAATGTAAAATAGCTTCTTCTACCTTTTTGTCCTCCAGCTCCTCAATATTTTCATTTCCTCCATCAAACACAGGAAACTCCTCCTGTGCGATGGCAACAGACGGTTCGATTTCCTCGTTGACCAAGTCTGTTTCCAGGAAAGATAACTCCATAGTGGAGCAAACATAATCCTCCTCCTCCTCTTCAAAACTAATATCATCTTCTTCAGACTGCTGCTGATGCATGAGAATACACATTAGAACAGTAATACTAAGAAATGGGATGTATCATAAATGGTCTTTGTCAGGTATTTCAAATAAGTTTGTATCAACAACCACGGTAAGACGAGACAAATGAAGAATATTTCATGTACCACACTTATTCCTTCAAAACTAGTTGGCATCTCTTCAGATATTTCCTCTCTGCCAACGTCTCCTCCGACATCCCTCTTCTGTTGTTCGCCCAGACCGTGATGCAGGAATGACGGAGGCTGAGCGAAGCGGTTGAGCAGAGCACCGCTGGGCACGGACGTGGGCAGCAGCGAGTCATCAGAGATGGAGGAGGTCAAAGAAAAGGAGAAACGAGGTGAATCGCTAGTTAGGAGCCTGTTCTGGGTGCTGAGGAGGGAAGAGGTGATGGAGGGCACGAGGGAAGAGGAGGAGAGGAGGGAGGATGACGTGGAGGAGAGACTGGAGGGCTGGAGAGAGGCGAGGGAGGAGAGCTGGGGCATCTGCAGGGAGCTCTGAGCTAAGATCTTATTATCCAGACTCAGAGGAGCGTAGTTGGAGGACAGACTTCTTCCACATGTGGCCTGCTGCTGCTCCTCTTGAGCCACGTTTACCGCCTGCAAAGTGAGGGCCCTCATCTCTGCAGAGAAACACAGCGATCAGAAGGTCAAAGGCCGCAGCGAGTTCGAGCCTCTCCCATCAATCACAAAACCCGAACAATCCAAGGCAGGACGAGGTCCTTAGATAAGCAGCTCTGCAGCATTCCTTCAACTGTTTGACTAAGCATTGTGCTACTGTAGATGAGGGAGTGTTGCTCTCCATAAAAAGAGACCAAAGTCTGGAAACAGTCAGAAAACATGTTCTGCGTTGTTTCATTAGACACCAGCAGCAGCATAATGCATGAAGTATATGCAAAAGTGACTAAAATACTATGAAATTCCACAGACAGTGGAAAAACAAATCAGCAAAGAATTCAACAACAAGAAATGCTTATTTCACACCATAAACTCAACTAAATGTTGGAACTGCAACAGCTAATCGAATAAAATAAAAATTACACCAAACAACTGATTGTTTTAAATCATTTTTCAAGCAACGTTCAGCTTCACAAGTATTAAAGCATTATAAGTACTTAGGTACATGTCATGATCAGAGAGAGTTTAATTACTTACTATTTAATCAAGTTTTCCCTCAAACGACTGGACGATTGAAACTGTTCATTCTTAGTTGCAGCCTTAACAAATAAAAAATACCTACACCAACTCCACATTTGTCTTAAGTCTGCATCTCTACATGTGGCAGCTGTTTCATTTGAGCGTCTGGTGAATTTGAAATGTCGTTGGTGGTTTAAAGAAAGGAACACATCCGTTCATTTTATTTTAACACATAATTATAAATGTCACATAACTATGAATGGATAAAAAAAACCTAACTTGTGTTGGTTTTATCGCTTTATTTGATTGTTTTTATTATTTCATTACTTGTAACCAGGCG